TGACGATTAATTAAACTTTGCTGCTAATTGTGAATCCATATCAACTTCCTAAAATAATGACTTAAGGAATTTTTTTTTGCCAAAAATATGAGCAAAAAAAATAAAATAAAATCACCACCTCTTTCTTTCTAAAAGATAATTCAGGCAACAAAAACCCTTTGGCCATTATCTTAGGATTTGTAAAAATAGTGTTCAGATCTTTTCATTCACTCGTTCGCTCATCATTCATGAACTGGCAGGTCCCGACACTGAGGGGTCACCCGACCCACCGTAACAGAACCATGAGAGGTAATGATTACGTAACGAGTCGGACACAGCGATGTGATGCAACGTAAAGACAGCTGCAGGCGCAGCAGGAGGATGGATGGTCCACAGCCAGGAGAGAAGACATATAGAGAACGACACACTACAACGACCCTTTAACAAACATGAAATGGATTTGAACAGACTGCACCCTGTTTCATACACCTGTGAATGTGTGTGTGTGTGTTTCAGGGATTTTACCTGGGTTAAAAATGTGCAAGGAATTGCTGAGAACTGAATGCATAATTGCATTAATTAAAAAAAGGCCAAACAAAATAACAAAATACTATAATAGCAGTCTCCCGTGGCAACCACTCAGTTGTATAAAATACCTGGGTGAAACTTGCCCCGCCTTCAAGGACAAAGCTTCTCCTTCAGACTAGCCGACAGCAATTAGCAAACACCTTGTGGTGCTGCATATCAGCTGAGCTTGTTGTAAGAGCTACTTCTAAAAGCAATGCTGGTAAAAACTTTGTTAAAGGGTTAATAAAGGAGCCATGTCGAGATGACTTCCTGGAGGTGGAGCTTCAGAAAGAGCAAGTGTCCCTTAAAGGGACAGAGACACAATTTGAAGGTGTTGAAATTGTGCAGTAAAATTTCTTTCAAGTCATATTTGACATAAATAGCGTTTTACTAACAACTGGAGATTACCTGATTGTGCTATAAATGGCGCTATATGAATGGAAAACACATGACACTATCTTTTTAACTTGCAGAGGGTAGGTGCAAGTCAAAGTGCAAAGGGTCAGGGGTCATGGAGACTTTGATGTGACTTGCCTTCTTTAGTAATGCCCATATTTTCTCTCCATCACCTCCTCCTGTTCAGCTGAGAGGAGGCTACAGCAGATAGCTGCAGCTAGAAGAAAGGGAAGTGGGCAGAAGGAGAACAGAGGAGAAAAAAGGAGGTATCGCAGAGGGGGCGTAGGTGTGTGTGTTTGGGGGGGTCTGGGTGTGTGGAAAGCAGCCACTGCAGCAAACACCTCTGAAACAGAAACAGCCATTTAGCGGCGAAAACAAGTTCCCCTCACAAGACGACTATGAATGGGGCACTTCAGCCGGCCGAGGAAGTTCCATCGAGGGGCAGGATGTTCTCCTCAGGACGCTCTTGAGGCGGGACGCGGGCCAAAAGTGTGTTTACATAGACCCGTCTCTCTCTCTCCCTCTGTCACCGTCCAGCTTTGCCCTCCTTCTCTGGCCGAGTAGAAAAGAAGGAAGAGAGAGAGAGAGAGAAAAGGAGCAAACTCTCCCCTGCCTGCTTTGCCCACTCCATCCCCTCCTACCAGGCGTTTACAGAGCCGCAGCCAGCCAGGCGGCGAGGGAGGGCGTGGAGCTGTGCTCAGCAAACAAAGACAGAGAGGCAAAGACTCTCTGTGATTAAAGAGCAGTTAAGATGCTATGAGAGACTAATTTGTTCTCTGTGTGACTGAAAACAAAACCAAATCTGGGGCTTACGCTTCCTGCACTAGCTTAAAGTGAAATGCTAGGTACTTAGCACTACAACAAAACTCCTTTCTCTTTCTAAATCCTTTACACAAACTGTGATGTGATAACATTTTCTTTATCCGTTCTACATGCTTTTTAGATTAAAACACATACACACATGCACGTACACGCCCACACACACACACACCAAGCTGCTTCTGCTCACCAGCATCATGGAGACTTAAGAGCACAGCAGACAGGTCAGGGATGAGTTCGTCTGAAGCAGCGCTAGCTTAGGAAATAATATTCAGAGTTGTGAACGTCTCACAGAACTCTGCCTCATCGTCTGTCTCAACGGTTCAGATAAAAGTATGTGTATGTTTTAGAACCCCAATTAAGAATTTGTAGAAAAACATCAAAACTGGTGTTCACAAATAAAGAAAAGATTTGAGACGGAGTTTCACCTTCCAACTGTCTGTCTCCCAAGAATATTTTAGCTGTAATTTTCTTTATTGCAGTTTTGACCACCATGATGTCTTCTGTTTCTTATTTCTCCTCCGTCTGCGACCTATTTTCATAGATATGTATTTTTTGTAACCCAACCACGAACAGTTAAACAAGAGTAAAAAAAATCTTAATCTAGGAAGCACAAAACATCAAAAATGAATGCATAGTGGTAAAATAAGAGCTATGAAACTGTATTTACTACTACATGTTGGGATATGTCTGCAGTGCAGTCATGTTCAATAAATTAAAACATGCATCTCAAATTGTCTCTTTTGTTAGATTAAAAGTACCTTTTGAAAACAATAACCTTAATTAAAAAGTAGGTATCACATATATAGTTTTCGTTAAACTCATATTTCTGTTTGTAACTATAGTTTTTTATTGCTTTGATCCAATATTCTCATTTCAAATGTTATGGTTTCATTAGTTATAATTGAAAAATCATTATAACTAAAAAAACCCCAAAAAGCTTTCAAACATCTGTGTTTAATCTATATGTGTTTCACTTGGTGCTAAAGTTGGTCAAAGAAATTGAATTTTAAATAATATTCCAATTTATTGAATGGGACAGATATGGAACATGTTGGATTTAGAAATATTGACACGTTTTATAAATCTCAGAATTTCAGTAAGGATTTAAACTCTTTAGCAACACAGAGAAGAAGCTACTGTTTGTTATGCTAACCATTCTAACAGTGTTAATTGATAATAAAAAGCCACTAAGGACTGTTTCAAATGCCAATTCTGTATTTATTTAGTCTTTGCTTTAACATAATTATTGCTCCTCATCTAAATAATTATTAACCACTTACTACAGGAACACTAAAAAGCAATTTTTAGATGTGGCTGTCATATCAGTTTATGTGTAAAATCTCAAGGACAAATCAGAACTAGCTAGCATTATTATAAGCAGGACAAAGCTTCACAAATAACATCTTCAGTCGCTATAGCAACATGATTCCCTCCAGAATCACGTTGAATTCAAAGGCAAACAGAGTCATTGTCTTCAATCAGGACATAAACGTAGAAACCCAATAAATGAATAAACACATTACATCACCCCATAGAGATTTATTGAGTTTACGTTTCAAGTCTGGTGGAAAGTTATTTTCTGTTCTCCTCACTGCATCAAAGACTTTGACCAGGAATTTGTCACATCCTTTTCTTTTTTTTTCATTCATTTTTTTTCCATTCTGAATGTAAAATCTGAATGCAACATTATATTGTAAATACTCCCCAGAAAAAACCCAACCAAGACTTGCTGCGATCCGCTCAAACCAACAGTTTGTGTGGAGCAAAAACAAACCGTGTTACGACACAGCCAAGACATAACAAACAGGAACAAACCGACTAACATTTGCTCTCTGCGGTGTTTTGGTTCCAGTTCATTTCGAAATTCTTCCAAACTTCGGGATCGCAAAGTTTGCCAGTTTTGTTTTTTTGCCAACAGAGCAGTTAGTGTTTGCTCTTGCAAATCCACAGCGACAGAAACAGGGCTGACAGAAAGTTCTGTTGTAACGTGTTTATTCAGAACCGGCTTTGACAGCAGAGTTTGTCAGGCGCAGAGAAAAAGAGGGAGACTCAAAGATGTTGTGAAATGGTTCTTTTTTTCTTGCTCTCCCATGTGGGGGGAAATGTCTGCCCCAGAGGGATTGTTGTTATGGTGGAATGTTGCACCGAGAGAAAAAGATGAAGACTGAAGCAAACAAGCTGTGAATGCAGACGGAATAATCAAATAATGCCAGCGAGTTTCACCGTTCTGTTAGAAATCTAAATACAAAGCGGAAAGACATAACAAAAAAAACCAAAAAAAACCCCGAAACCGAGATAAACTGAATCAAAATGACAAAACAGCTCATAGAGACATTAATATTTTCTCATGTACTTAAAACCGTGTTTCACACTACAGACCAACCCAAACCTGACTGCTGAATACCGCTAAATCCTTTCTGCATTCGAGGCGCCATGATGGATGTCGGAAGTGAAAGACGGGAGAATTGATCAGAGCGACTGAAATTGTTTTCCCAAGTTGTTTTTGCCATTTTATTCGTGGCTTCTATTTGTTCCAGTCCAGTTAATTTGTCTGTGAACGTAACACCTGGTTGGGACTCACAGACGGCGGGATTTACAAAACTTTGAAATAGCTAGCTTAGAAACCGACCCGTACCTCCTCCCTCTTAACGTGTTGATTAAATTACCAACTTTACCTGAATTCACACCACATCATATATATCACTATGTCATAAACGGCGTTGCCCCTCAAACCGGAGCAGCCTTAAAAACGTACAGAAGACGAGTATGGAGGAATTTGAGTTATGGCAGGTACATTTCCCCACAGAGAGACGCTAACCAGTTTTTTCGTATATGCTAGGCTACACGTTGGTGGGGCACTGTTTCCATGGTTACTGAAGGTTAGACACATACTTTCGCGATAATGCGACATTTGATATATTTCTAATAACGCTTACTTATAAAGTATTTGAACGTTAATCTTCTTACTTTGTGTAACGGATGGTATAAATGAGTTTCCTGAAGTCATTCAGCCAGGCTTCACAATGGGATATTTTATTCTAGGGAACAATGTTGTCTACATTTTCTTCCAAATTCAACAAAAGTGAACAAAAAATAAATCAACCTCCTCACAAAAATCATAACAAACTAAAAACAAGAGGAGAAAACCGCCACCTGGTGGCCACAACAACACAGTACAGTGAGACAGAGTTAAATAAACAGAAATAAAAAGTATAACTTAAAATAAAAACACATACCTGGGGGAGAAGAGTAAAAACAAATGAATCTTCTCGTCACCTCCCTGCACTTCAGCCCTAAACATAGAAATAAAAAGTGTTCAAACGACCTATGCTGGACCGGCAGACTGCGGGACATATTCGCGCCAAAAGAAAAATGACAATAAAACTGTCCACTAAACCCACAATGATGGTCAAAACTGCAAAATAACAGACTAACAAACAATAATAAACAAAATAAGCTAGAGACCTCAACATAAACAACAACATCTATACAGAAAACAAACATATCGCAGCAGCGAACTTTCCTCTGACTTACCCAGAGCAGCGCGGAACAACGCTGAAGAAAAAGGGGGAAGCGGAGGAGCTACGGAAGCCCAGGAGACACAAATGAGGCAGAGCGCAGAAAGGCGACCCCAGCAGGCAAAAACAACAAAACAACAATTCAAAATAACTGAATAAGATAAAATTCACAAATTCTCAATATAGAATTAATTATAAATATTCATTTAAAAAAGTACATCTGTAATTCTGTTACACTTGTAAAAAGTGGTCGCTGTAAATCCGCCATTACACTGAGGGCTGCAAGTCATTATGATTGACGGCTTCTATCCATCGCCGCCATCTTTCCTCCTTAAAGCTTATTAATAAAATGACAAGTTCGGTTTTTATCCATGTCTGTTTGTGCAGCCGACCGCGCAGCAACTTATGACCTTTTTTTTAAAGTGAAATGAACCAGATAAAAGCGACATTAGGCTACCACAGCTGTTGATTTTACAGGAGCACATAGATTGTTGACGTCCGTCATGGCGGAGCGGGTGGAGTCGCGTGCAAAGGGTCAATATAAAAATAGACAAAGAGCTGCGTGACAACTGACATTAAACAGTCAAAAAACAAACTTCAAGAATCCGTCTTTCAATTTCCCTCTTCCATCCTCTCCTGATTATTATGTGGCTGAACACAACAGAGGATGAATAAATCAGTGAGAGCAGAGATCACAGAGCTCTGCTGAAAATCTGGGCTTTGTTTGTCCAAAAGGAATGAAAAACTGTTTATTTTTTTAAGCATTTATAGTAAAAAAAAAAAAAAAAAGCAACCAACTCTGCCACATAAGAGGCTTGTGGCAGAAAATGATGTTTTTCATAAAGGGAGTGTTTGGAGTTTGTAAGTGTGGCTCTGTGGAGAAGCTATGAGCAATGAATATCTTACCCGACCTGACCTGATTCTGTTTGACTTTTTTTTTCAAACAGAAAAATGTGCTGCAGCCTCTGTGATACAGTGGCAAAAAAAGAAATTACAAGATTGTTCCTATTTGTAGATCAAAAAATATTTACCTTCATTAGGTATTAGTTTTCTGTTAAACTCATATAAAGCATATTTTGGGTCATGTTAATTGACACATTTAGAGACCAGAAAAGGTGGGAGCTCCTACTGATGATGCCTTTCATGTCAAAATAAGACGTCAGTTCAATTCAGTTTATTTATATAGCACCAATTCACAACACGTCATGTCAAGGCACTTTACAAAAAAGTTGATTCGATCCAATATGACCTCCTGACCAAACGTTCTCATATGAATAATGGTTTAGGAAAGAATGGAAATGTTACTGACCCAACACTCATAGAGCAAAACACTTGTAAGTTGGACTTAATGCTCTTGTGGCGCCCCCTGTTGGAGCAGGGACCAACTCTGCTGCTTAGTTCACTTGTTCTTCTGGCTGGCTGCAGTTTATGAAACAGTTTGCATGAATTACTATATTGTTTAAAACATTGGAAACAGTCTGACGTGCTTTAGACGTCAAGAGAGTTCACACAGTTAAAATATTTACTGCTGGTAACTCTGAAGAGAACACTTCTTGAAAAAGACTTCAGCAATGAAGTTTAAACAATTCTTATTAAATATTTGACTAACTTTTGATGGGAGTATCCCTATTTAAAAGGATTAAAGTAATTCTCCAGAATGAATTTTGTGACGAGACAGAGGGAAATATTCTTTTAATTTCATTTTAATGCAGAGAAAACAACGTAAGTCACAAAAAGTACCTTTGATATGTAATGAAATGCATTTATTTCCAATTCTGCTGCATAAATAAAACTATGTACTTGGAGTCAGTTCTAATGTTAGTAAGCTATGTCAATTCATTTCCATTAAACAAACAAAACAAAACAAATATATATATATATATATATAAATCACAACAAAAAAGGAAGTGAGGCATGTCTTTAAATTTGCTACCAGAACAGAAAAAAAATCAATTTCAAAAGAGATCTAACAAAGAGAAGAAGGGCATTCAAAGATAAAATAATAATAAAAAAACAAAACAAATGAAACTAAACCAGAAGGAAAGCTTTTTAAGGACTGAACAAAGTTCCAACTCTACATCACAATTCTCTTCTTCTGGCTCTTAAAAACAGAGAAGCAAACAGCTCTGAATAAAATACTCTCACCATAGGGAAAGCTTTTACCCAACATGGAAGAATAAATAAGAACAAAACACCACCTGTTTCATTATATCCATCCGTTCTTTACAGAAGTGCTTTTTTGTATGTTTGGCTCACTTAATAATATTAATAACATTAGTGAACAAACCAGGTCGATTAGCCCTAGAATGCATCCTTTAAGATCTACATTTTTTCAAACATTTTAATTTTTTTTAAACACATTTATACATTCATAATGTGATGAAAAAAAAGTCAATCAATCCCCTTTTGCTAAATCATGTAATCGAGGCACGACTGTGATAACACAAAAAGCATCTCCTATAAGAGCTTTCACTGAACTAGTTTTTTTTTTTCCTGACAGAATTTTGGTGCCAATAGCAAAAAAAACAACAAAAAACAATCAGAACAATTTGGACATTGTAGCAAAATTACAGTCTCCAATTTGTATTTTAAGTTCTTCAAATATTAAAACTACTTAAGGAAGTACTGGCGCTGACTTGTCGGTGACTCCAGCTGGTTTCTGATTGCACAGTAACCGGTTCCACTTAGCAGCGAGTAAATCTGCGAACCCTTCAATGCCACGTAAAAGTCCTTTCCCGTCTGTGACTTTGCAAACGTTTCAGACTGAATGCTTTTTAACTTTATTGAGGGATCAGTTAAAAAAAAAAAAAAAAAGAAAAAAAAACGAGAAAGAAAGCCTCACTATTAAGAAAACCCATTTTGTAATTCTCGTCCTAATACTTCTGGCCACCTACATTCACCGGCGCAGGATTTGGTTCAGAGATCGGATAAAGTCAGGCTTTTAAGACTAAATTTGGCACTTTTTGCAACACAATCGAAGGACATACACAAAATATACGTTTGATTTTACTGCTGTGTGGTCTGAGTCACACAACAAGCCTTCATTTCATTCAGTAATAACACTATAGAGAGGCAATAAAATGGGCAGTTTTTGCTCAATCAACTAGAAAACCCACCCATTTATTTACCCCTTAAGCTAAACCTTTACCTGTGAGCATTAGCAGCGTTGACCTTATGACCTTTGAATGTTCTGTGAATAAAACCCTGCGAGGCACATTTTAAATTAAAAATAGATTTATGACATTGCACTCACTGGAACGTGGATGCTTTTATGTAATGGTTAGCTACTGCAAAATATTTAAGGGCTTTGACTGTATCCTACCAGGACTACACTGAATGAAAACCCTTTTCTGGTTATTGCTGTAAAACCTGCAGGAAACAGAATTATACAACCCATGTCAGTCACTGTATTTGAGTAAACTACGTAGAACGTCAACAGTTAAGTCTAATCTGAAGTAAAGAAGGAGTAGTGTGGCCAGAGGTTAGCTGAAAGCTAGCCCTGTTAGCTAAACAGGGTTAGCTAAACTTATTTAACTAACCCTTAAAAAGATAAACAAAGTCATTTATTTCTTTTAGAGATGCACCGATCGTCTAGTGACCGGTACCGACAGTGCTTTCATCACGTTTTTTTATTTGAAGTGTTGCCTTGGAAGAAGGTTTATGGACCTGCAAAATTCAACAAAAGTGTTTATGCTAGCTTGAGGTGGTTTTCTGGCTTTTCCATACAAAAGTTAACACAAAAAAGGGAGAGGGAAACACATTTGCCAAATAAGTTCTGATGAAGCTCGACTGGTTCATTTTTTACACTTTTTAGTAATTTTTTTAACGCATATCAATCTGAGCTAAACAAGGTCCTTATGTAACAAAAGCCATAAAAACCAATTTTAGACGTTAAAACTTCCACTTTTAGACCAACTGCACATCAGTTTTTGTTTTATAATTGTTCATAGCTCTTAAATTGTGATTTGGCAGGTCAGGGTTATGAAACAAAACAGGACTGGAAATTGGGCCAAAACATTCTGATCGGTGCATCTCTAATTTCTTTGTCCTTTAAAAACAGATTGAGGTTCTCAGAAGGCTCTTGTGATTCACAGCTTGGAGTAAAAAGAAAGCACGCCTGCTGTAAATGTTAAAGTTTTCCATAGTGTACGTATGTTGGGTTTTCAGAGCGTTTTTAAGGCCTAGTTCACATGTAGCCAGATATTTTGGAAAACAAAAGCATTTCCAAAGCGTTTTGGCCTTCCATCCACACATAAACTCAGTTTCATATCACCAAAAGCAATTCTAAGAACTCAGACCAGATCAGATTTGACAAGACAAGAAATAATTGTGTGTGCATATGGGAAAACGGAAATTTGGGGTTCCATTACAGACTGCGATAAATAATGTGCTAAAATATCCACATATTTGTTCTGATATGATTCACTATTGACATCAACTTTAAAACTAGTACAACCTACAAACCTGGCAAGACAAATGAACGTCCTGATGCCACGTTTAATTCCAAATAGGAAGTAGTGGTCGTTTTGAAGCAATCTGATTGGCTGATACAGGTCTTAGCTTTGTGCTACGCTGCCCCCTATGGGTTCGGCATGTTGAAACCAACTTTCAGTAGCGTATTTGTGCAGGTTCTTGTGGATGAAAACTTCTGAAAACGATCCCGATCGTACGATATTTTTTAAATTGGTTTTCATAAAACACCCGGCTACGTGTGGACAAGGTGCAAGCTTGAACAAACCCTAAAACTCTGATCACATCTTTGTTTAATAAATAACTTGATGGAATCTGCCGTGAGTATATTTGCAAGGTCAGATTTACGTACTTTTTAAAGTCATATTCATGCTTTAAAACTGTAGGATTGACAGAAGGTGCACTTTATTTTGAGAATGACGGTCTGTGTGAAAGGTCTCTGTGATGCGCTGCAATTTCTTGCCCAGCAAGAGTTCATCATTCTTTCCTTAGTGCAAATGCCAACATATGAAACCAGAAGTAGAACTCAGCAGAACCCAGCAGCACCTCCAGGTGGCGCTCCGGAGTCACAGGTCAACGTCCGGCTGTCGCACTACACTCGCTCTCAGAAACGTCATCTCCTGCCATACATTCTCATTTCTCTGTTTCAGACAGTAAACAAACTAACGAAAAAAAAGGTGGATAAAAAAAAAAAACATCTGCCAGTTTGTGACAAAATCATTTCTGCTGCAAAATAAGTTACAAAAAGTCAAAATAAAAATCTTTGTGTACAGTACTAAAATACCTAAACCTAGAAGTTTTCAAACTTAAGAATCGCATGTTAAGTCTATAAATACCTTTACAAATATACATGTTAATTATTCAAATAAAACTTTTTTCTGCAACACCCCAAAAAAAAAATAAAATTCAATGTTTTGAACGCATAGACAGTGTCTTCCATCCTCAAATAAACTTTTTTTTTAAATGTATTTTTTTTCTGTTTTTGTCTTTTACATACATGGCTGTGGGCAGCGATATGATACATATTTGCATTTATATATTTACAATAAATCACTTTCTAGATATAGAAAAAAAGAAACAAAACGTCCTCCAAGTGGCGCTGTTCTTATTACTGAAAGGCCCTGAAATCTGCCTCACGTCACCAGGAATTTTGTTCAGAGACGATAAAAAAAACAAAAACAAAAAACAAAAAAAACAGTTCTTAAGATGAAAAAAAAAAACAAAAAACATTAACACTGAGGAAACCTGCTGCAGCTGGAAGTCTTCGCCTCTCAGAGCTTCTCCTCTGAGTTCTGCTGGAAACTTCTTCCTGGATTCTGTTCATGAGGGAGCATTCTTGTTGTGATTTGCGCAGATCTAGAGGAGATAGATCCGCACCACTACTTGGTCACCTTCAAAATGCCCTTCACGTCCTCCGCGTACGATTTCTGAATTCAGTCCTAGGAGGTTTAAATCCCAGGAGGCACGGAATGGTTTCACCACACGACCGTTTGTAGCAAAAGACTGGCCAGAGTATAAAAATAGAATTTCATTCCTGAAAAGAACGCAAACAGCCAAAAAAACTAAACAAAAACAAAAACAAAAAAATCCTTCAATGTTCAAAGTGTCTGTTGGGGGGAAATCGTAGGAGAAAAGCCTGGAGAGTTTAAGACGAGCTGCAGGAGTATTGCGGGAAGTCTTAATTTCCATAATCTTGAGGAGTCTTGATTCGCTGAGAGGTGATTATTTGTCACAGAGTGTGAGCGGGGGTCGCGACCTCCGCAGCCGGGCTCTTATGTCCGTATGACGGCGTTGCTGGGAGGCTGTTTGGGAAGACAGGGCTCGTCGGGCAGCGAGTCGTGGGCGAACACGGAGTCGTCTCCGGAGGAGCAGGTGCTGTTGGAGTCCTGGCAGGTCGGGGAGTACTGCTCGAACGGCACCGACAGGTCCAGGTACTCCTGTCAGAGGAAGGGTCAAAGGTTACCTGTGGTCAGCTGTCTCCTCTGAGCTCACATGAATACAGGAAAATCACATTCTGCATCTAGAGAACCGCTCAGATTTCAACACATCTAAATTCCATTCACCGTGTTTCCACTGAACATAAAATTGCTCAAGTTGAAATGATGAAAATAAATTGAAAAACATCAATTGAAAAACAAACAAACATGTTTTTGAATAAGATGTTTTTACACTTGGGTGAGGTGGCTTTTCAGCTGTGTGAAAACAGATGTATTTTGCAAAAGCAGCAATGTTTTCACATCACGAGTCACATGATCATCAGTCGGCTGTTACTACTGGAAGAAACAACAAACAGGAAGTAGCAGGAGGATGATGGTGTGTTTTTTTTTGGCCAATGTGCAACGGTATTTTTTGTTTCATCCAACAGTTTGAACACATTTGAAGCATTTTTAAGCCAATATAACAACAGCGTATGGGAAACAATTAGGGTCACTAACTCTGTCCTTCATGTCAAAACCTTAATCTAAGAATTCTGATGGGTTTTCTCAGAACTGAATGCATGAAAGAATGTGAAAATCCATCTTGTTACAGAAAGTTAGTTCTCCTCCTTCACATCTCACATCTCTGTACCCAAGGATGGTGGATCCCAGTTTGCCACCTGCTCTAATGCCTGGATTCTGAGATTAAACTGGGAATTCTGAAAAAATAGTTGAAATTCAGAAAAAAACCCAACCAAACAAAAAAACCAAACAAACAAAAAAACAAAAACAAAATTGGGATATAGAGATAGGGGTCATAACTCTGAGATTAAATTTGGAATTTTGAGATCAAAGTCAGAATTCAGAAGTTAGACATAATTTTGTGAGTAAACTATTAATTCTGAGGAAAAAAAAGAACTTTGGGGAAAAAGTCATAATTCTAAGACCAAAGTTGGAATTGTAGAAAAAAAGTTTAAATTCAGAAAAAAAATAATAAAAATATTGGCATATAGAGATTAGGGTCATAATTCTGAGATAAAGTTAGGAATGTTGAGAAAAAAACTTGAGATTTAATTCTGTGAAACAATGGAATACAGAGATGGAAGTCATAATTTTGAGATGACAGAAGATATAATTCTGAGACTAAACTCTTAATTCTGAGAGAAATAAAATCAGAATTCTGATTTTATTTGGCAGAATTTTAAGGGGAAAAACCACACAGCAGCCCTAAACCTCTTCTGTAAGTTCTTTTATGTAAATTCACTAAAACTTTATGACAAAATGTACATTTGTTTAGCAGAACAATACTGTTCACTTCAAAACCAAAAGCAACCATGGAGCCATTTTTACAGCTGCCCCCCCCTGCCATAACCCTCAACATTCCCACCGTTTATCATGAAGAGAAATAAAGCCAACATTCTGACTCACATCAGTGGAGGTCATGGACAGAATCCGGTCCAGGTCTTCCACCAGCTGTCTGAAGGTGGGCCTCTGAGACGGGATGGCGTGCCAGCACTCCCTCATGATCATGTACCTGAAAGGTCAAAGGTCAAAGCCACCCACCCCCATTACTCTGCAGCCAATCAAGTCAAGTTACCCAAAACGCAAACATCCATTGGTCTGGACTAAACGAGGGTTCGGTTCACTCACAGCTCATGTGTGCAGTTGGCAGGTTTGTCCATCCGGTGTCCTTCTTTCAACAGCTTGAAGAGTTCCTCCACTGGGATCCCCGGGTACGGCGACCCTCCCAGGGTGAAGATCTCCCATAACAAAACCCCGTAAGACCACCTGAACAAAAACACACAGACAAAAACAAAACACTGATCAGAGGATGTGTATCGGAGCCAGGCGTGGACAGGCGGAAATGTTTTCTATCAAATTCTCTTCCAGCTGTATACGTTACAAAGTAATGCAGCGCTACCCCTCCCCCACCTGTTGCTGTCAAGCTTCCTCACAGACATGACATGAATTCAGCTGTTAGGAAATATGTCAGCTCATGAAATGCATGAAACATGACAAACCAAAAGAGAAACAAGATAGAAATAAGTATTAGTTATTCAAATCTCAAGTTTTACTTATTGGACCAAAACCAACGTGTTAAAAATAGATGAACAATGGTAATGCTGTACACTGTTAGCAGAAACAGTCAAAGCTCACAAAGAAAAAAGCTTTTCTTTCTCCGTATGTTTCAGGGAGACAATTAATAATCCTAAATAATCATAACTCAGTTAAAACAGCTTGGTACTCTAGTTAGTTTGTGAATGCAAAAAAAAAAAAAAAGGAATCAAACAGACAAACAGATCAGGAACATAAAACCAAAGATAGTTTGAGTTTGTCTTGTTCTCCAGCCGGACGCCAACACAGATAAACTGCTAGTTACAGAAATAAAATCATCCTCTAGTAAAGTGAGAATACAGCAGGTTCAAGTTTTCCTCTAAAGTCGTCTGTATATAAAATACTAATCTGTAAAAACTCATTAAGTCAGTGATCTAGTAGCTGACATTACAGATATCACTCAGTGAAAATGGGTCGTTTTCCAGCTGTGAACTGATCTACATTTCTACCCAGTTTTCTGCCATATATATTTTTTAATATGCTATATTATCTTATTCTAAAAGAGAATCAGAGACTTCCTACCAGGAACCAACCCTGACCTGGACTCTACTGTGAACAGGAGAGTGTGTATTGACAGCCTGAACATTTCCATCCCAGCTGCAGTCCAAACCAAGCCATCATCTCACTCCCTTTCTCTCTCTGTGGCAGCAGCTTCAGAAAACTGCTGGTTCACTCCCAAATGGTTAAAAAAAACAAAACAAAACAAAAAAACAGAAGGGGGCATCACATAATGGGCAGTCAATTAACCGGGTGTAGCATTGTTGAGCGGTTCATCCTGTGAATCACAATAAGACCCCCTCCTCACTTTAATCTAATTATCTACGCTCCAATCTGCAGGGCGGAGAACGGCCGAGCCGACTGGTCCACCTCCTGAATGAACAAAACATTCAGAAAATGGCTTCGACTGACCCCATCTGTGGGCCTGATCTCATTCTTCTCTTAATTTTCGTTCATTTCTTCAGTTTCAGTTGAATTTTAAAACCGCGGCCACATTCAAAAAGCTGCAGTGCTTGTTTTTTTTATTTTCAATGCGTTCCAGTCGGAATCAGTCAAAATCGTCACGTCAAGAAGTCAGGACTGGAAAAGTTCCTCTCTAGATGCAGACAACATATTCAACAGCTGCATTTCGACTGACCATGAATTACCATAAACAGCAATTTAGATAAAAGGTTTTTGAACTAGAATGATTTGGTTTTTCAGTTGTATCAAAATTTGTCTATTTCGCAAAACTGGAATGGAAACTTTTTTCACAACAAACAAGTCACATGATCAACAGCTGGATGTGACTGCTGGCGGAAATGTTGAAGACGACAGAATGATGATGCATTATGTCTTTCAATTATCGCGTAGAAAAACATATTCTGCTGTTATTTTAATTGGTGGTGTTATTTAAGTGTCTTATTGTGTCTAATTGTGTTTGCCATTAAAATGTTGACAAAGTTTTGTAATGGAAATGTAGCTACTGACATCCACAGGAAAAATGAACTTAATGTTTACAAATAGAACGTAATTATTTTAATTTAATATGCTTTGCAGATCGTGTCAAAAAAGTTTGCCAATTTTTAAATTTTCTTTTAATGAATTTTAGGAAATGTTTTCAGTCAGCGGCTTAAAACCAATAACAATGCAGGGATAAAATCATGGACCTCCTTTAAAGTATGTGGATATGGGGGACGTCTGCGATAGCTGCTACATGTTAGCACTGAGATGCTATTTTAGCCTTGAATACTGATAGGCTAACTCCTTTTAGATCAACTTGAACATGACTATAGTACAGCATCCAATCAGATTATTTTGGAGGCAGAAATTAAATGAACCCCAAAGGGCAAAGAGAATCAGCTTTGTTGTCCGTTGCCGTTAGCTGAAGTTGCTTGTGTGTCAGATTTACAGCCGTATCAGAAACACAGGAATAGAGAAGATCCGCTCTGAACTTCTGTATGTAGAAAACAAGAAAAAGCGAGTAATTGAATTTAAATTTGTTTATAATGAATTAAAATTAATGTGTTAAAGTCTTGATTTTTCTTTCTGGGAATCAGCAGGTGGAAGCTTCACAAACACTGGAGATCAGAAATCAGCCACAAATCTTCAACTGACGGATCTCCGAGTAAAATAATTACTTTCATGGGACTAATAGTGGGAAGAGCTTCCCAAGGATTAAACATCTTTATCTTGACTTAAAGTCTTACATTTATTCAAACTCATATAAAACATCCTGCTGAGACTGCACAGCAGTAAAAACTAAAATATGACTAAACATTTTGCAACTGTGATCATGCCGATCATTTGTTCTTTACAGTTTGGAGTTTTTGACAGCTTAATTTGAATGTTTAGAACCGTGGCCCTATCAGACCGAAAGCCAAACAGTGGAAGGCCCTCCGCGGTGTGAAGAGGATAAACTGGCTCAGAGTGACTACTGTATAAAGGCAGGCGAAGATTTGGAGTCTGTAATCCAGATCTGCTGAAATAACAGAGCAGGCCGGTTCTCCCCTCGGCCCGTTCCCAGTCTGCAGTGATCACACGGCCCCGCAGCGCTGACAGGGGCCCCTGTTTGGCTTGGACGGCTGTGCTGGGGACACAGCGTCTGGCTGTGGATGGCTGGGGGGAAGGCTGCTGGAGCTACTGCAAGATACATCTCCTTGGTGACCTCCCCGTCTGACAGGCCGCCGGCTTTAGATCAGAGGTGACGCAAACGCAGCCGGACGGGGAGAAAGGTGTGTATCTCTGAGAAAAACACACAACCTGAGGGAACACCTTGGCTTTCTAATCTCGACGTTTTTGATTGAGCCTCATAAAATAACATTAACCATAGAATTGCACAGCTTGAAAATACAAAAGTATTGCTTAATGGAAATACAGCAAACTTTTTTTTTGCTCTAGCATGAGGTAGTTTTTCATCTGTATTGAAATGGATGCATTTTTCAGAACTGAAATGGAAACTACTTATTCACGTCACCCGAGTCACATGATCAACAACCAGATGTTGTTACTGGAGGAAATGATGGAGACGACGATAGAAAGTAGTTGGAGGATGACGGCGCAGCAAGTTTTTTTTAATGACTTATCGTCTGAACTAACTTATTCACGTGAGATTTTAATAGTGTTTCTTATTTACTGGAAACTCCGCACTGCAAAATTGTGTGTCATGAGTCACATGAGCAACAGCCGGATGTTGCTACTGGTGGAAACGACAAAGAAGACGACAGGTAGTGGTAGGAGGATGATGGTTTGTTTTTGATTTTTTCAGACAAAGTGCATTTTGCTCCAGCAGAAATCTCACAGCATCACAGTTCATAAAAAATTGTGTGTTATTCTAACATGTTTAATCCACAACACTTCTGGAAAATCAGCGGCTACAATTTTCCCAAAACGCAGCATACATAGCTGCTCCTAAATATAAGGAACTGGTCGTCTCAATCTGTTTACATCCGTCGCTGCTATGATTTTTAATGATTTATTGCATGAACAAGCTCATTCACATGTGATTTTAATTTAATTTGTTATTTAGTAGAAACACTGTAATTGCAAAATTGTGTATTTTTGACATAAGCAGCACATCGACTAAGATTTGCACACATGGAAACGGAGCTAACAAAATGCTGGGACTCCAGCGTCGTTTTGGAGAGTTAGGAACAAACTCCACCAGAAAAGATTCCTAACTGAGGGCTGGTTGACAGCATACTGGAGATATTTGGCACGGGAACCCATCGGTTTAAGTCCTGCGCTTGACGCTAACATGCTCAGTCACCACATTTCAACAGCCGCATTCCTCCCATGTACACATCAGCGGACAGCCGCCATGAGATAGTCAGCTTGCGGAAACTCACACGTCGCTCTGGTGCGTGTAGACCCGGTCGAACAGAGCCTCCGGAGCCATCCATTTCACGGGCAGACGACCCTGGAGCAAAACAAGTACAACAGAAACGCTTTGGTCAGCAGAACCTTTCTGTACGGATCAGACAGGAAAAACGCAACGCTATCACACAATGTTTAACCATCTCCTGCCTCCGCTGCGCGCTCCATCACAGCCAGAGCAGCACAGTGGAGACATTCAGCAGCTCATATTTAGATTCAGACTGGAGTGATTTGCTGGTTTTCAAAAAATGTTATTTTAATTCTTCATCTTAAAGTGATTTTTTTATATATGCAATCACAAACCTTCATAATACTATTAGGATTATTTGTGTATAATATCGTGGATGCACCGATTGCAGTTCTCTACAATCACCAACCTTTACAAAGCATGACCTGCTGATTTTGGCTGATACCAATTTTTTTTTTTTGTCTGAAAAAATTGCTAAGTTGCAAATTAGGGCAACTATTGTCGAAAAGATCAATGGATAAGATCGATTTCACGTGAAATTATTGGACCATCTGGTCCAATTTATTGATGCCCCCTACAAAATAGTAAAGTAGTGGAAGGAATGTTTCTTTCTACAAATAGACAAAAACATACATGCAGAAATGAGTATAAGGTACTAAATGAAATGAGGCCCAACATGAAATATCTCGGATTTATTGCTGCAATTAAATAAAAAAACCAAACACGCGACATAAATGCACGTTTTCCTTGCTGTCCTGAGATTACCCCCCAACATTTCAGACAAAGTATTGATGTCATGAAACTCACATTTGTGGTCTTTTTGTAGTAGTCTATGTTGTGCACGTCTCTGGCGAGACCGAAGTCGGCTATTTTCATGACATTGTCCTCCGTCACCAGAACGTTTCTGGCTGCCAGATCTCTGTGGATACACTGCAAGGGGAAAATATGACAAACTCAGGTTAGCTTTACATACAGGCACGTGGATAACAAAAACATTTTTGCTGCAAGATGACCAAGCAGTACAAATTTAAATGGAGAAGAAATAAGTTTTTCCATTTCCTGAAAAATTCAGGTTTTGGGAATATGAGATTTCTGTTTGACAGCAAAAACTTTAGAGTTTTCCACTCTGGTCTGTCATGAAGAGATTGGAGTTAATCTTAGAGTTAAGGTAAAGATCAACATGTGCAAATTGCTAATATAAGGCAACGTTCACACAGCAGATCTCGACGCTAAGCTCGGACTTTTTTTTGTTGAAATCTGGTGTTTATGCTACTAATTGAATGTGACTGCAGTCAGATTTCTGTGTGAACGGTTTACGACCAACATGTGTAGAAGAAGGTAGACATCACACAGCAGAGCGTCATTTACAGGAGTAATAACTTCAAGTTCATAACTCTAATTTTCAACCATTGTTTATGTCTGGATTTGCCGCTTCTGGATTCTTCTGGTGCCGAGTTTTGACGCATGTCTCACATCAGTGACATAACGGTCGGATAAAATGCGACGTGACTGTCCTAACTACAGAAAACTCCCGAATAATTTTCCAAATTACTATGGAAGTGGGACAATCTGGACTTTTTCATGGTGAAAAAGATCCGCATCAGGTTGTTCAGTCTGCCGTGAAAAAGCTGGATATGGGTCTGCTGTGTGAACCAAGTCTAAGATACTGAAAACTGTTTAAAACGTCAAGTCGAAATCACTCTTCCTTCATTTTCAGTAACACAATGTTTTACAGCCAAACCAGAAAAGAACATTTTATTTTTTAAAAAAAATGCAAATAAATTGAAGCTGAAAGTTAAAATCTTGGTAACAAATCTCTGATCGGTGCAACTTTACTTCCTGCCTTTAACAGAAAATGCTGCATTATTAAAAGTCTAAACCTTTTCCTGGTAATTATCTAAAACAATTTAAATTGTAATCACTTCATTGCTATAAAACAAAAACTTATACATTTACAAAAGAAGATATAGAATGTATCTTTTTATCTGTGTGTCTGTCTCTATCCTTGTGTATTTAGGCTTTAGGAGATGTGACCTTCTGTGAAGCCAGGTACTCCATGCCTCGGGCGACCTGATAGGCACAGGACACCAGGTCTTTAAAGGTGAGCTGCTCATCAGGGATTTTGCAGGTGTCAAAGGAATAATCCATGCCAGGAGGACGGCGCGCCCTGAGGTACTCCCTCAGGTTCCCTTTGGAGGCGTACTCCACCAGGACGTACAGAGGACCTGGTGGGACAGAGAGCATTGCTTTAAAGATTCATTTTGATTCTCCTTTCATCTTCTCTTCCTCCGTCTCTGAGGCTCACCGTCCTGTGTGCACGCTCCCAGCAGGTTGATGATGTTTTTGTGTTTGCCTATCATCTTCATCATCTCCATCTCTGACACCAAGTCTGACAGATCTTTATCTGTTGCATCGTCTGAGGGGGAAAAGGCAAAGCCAAATCAGAAACCGTGCTGATTTCTTTGGGATTATCAAAAGAGGGAGAATGTAATTTGGGTAACCTTTCAGCATCTTCACAGCGACGGTGAGAGGCTTGTTAGGCTTCTCCTTGTCGATGCCGACTGCCTCTGCCATGACCACCTGACCGAAGCAGCCCTCTCCCAGAGGTTTACCCAGGGTCAACCTAAAAACAAAAACGCTTTTAATCTTTAGACTCTCCACTATGGCGGGTTTTAGGTAAACTGATTTTGAGGTTGTAACATGACAAAATATCAAGAAGTTCACAGGGTCTGAATATCCTCATGGTCACAGTTTGTGCCGACTGCTCCTCTCTTACCTTGTGCGAGGAAACTCCCATTTGGGGTCAGAGGGCAGCTCCAGCTCTGAGACGTTGGCCAGCATGGGCCCGTCGCTGGACGACAGCCGAGCGATCCGAACCAGAGGCGTGTTGGAGTTCATGGAGGAGTTAGAATCCAAGGAAACCTGCTTGGGTGCAAAGAAAAAATTATTTGTTATAGTCTCTGAAAACAACATGGTGAAATCTGCTTTACAAGGAGACAGACGGAAAGGAGAAATACTATATTGTTCACTTTGGATCAAACTAGATTTGTTAAAGAAACAGAAATTATTAATCTCGTAAACCAATGACATGACAGCTGAGACTACAAATGCCATCCTCAGAGGAGTAATACTTCCTTTGTAAATTTTAGATACTTGAGTATTGCCTGTATTAAAAAGAATCCCTAAACTTTGAATTCAGTGAATTAGATATGGGCCTTTAAGTTTTATATAAAGTGCAATGCAAAACATGTATTCATAAAAAAAAGAAGAAAGTCTGGGCCTCCCAAATAAATTGGCGCCCTGGGCTACTGCCCCTATCAGCACATTCTAAAGCCTGGCCCAGACTGCTGGACATGACTTTTGCAGCCTGAGGTTGTGTGCAGGATGAAGCCGTGGCTGAAAGGGTTTGGAGCCTGGACATCCATCTATCAGTGACCTCCAGCTCCAGGTCCGTGGTTCTGCCTCTGAGTGAGAGGGTGCGGGGGGCTCCACATCCTCCCACCATCTATCTACCCGCAGGGCGGAGCCCGGGGCCCATTCCTGCTTTTTTGATGGATATGTTGGTGTGAGTCTGCTCGTTCTGCCTCTCTAGCCCTGCAACACCAAGTCTACTTACAACAAGTCATGACTGTAAGAAAATGAGGAGTATGAAGTTAAGCCGAAAAAAAAAAAAATAAAAATCTCCAACCCCAATTTGAAAAGCATAAAAGTAATATCTGACAGAACATGCCTGGGGGTTTACAAGAGATTTACTTTGAGTTATGAAAGAGAGAGGAGAAAACTGGGAGATTAGCCTCCCAAAATTGAAGCAGAGATTATAGAAAAATGCAATAAGAACTTTCCCTCCGCTACCTTATAAGACCATGAAGGTGGAAAAAATTAGAGCAGAATTACAGGCTGCTATATGAGGATGTACTGGACTCCAGCAAGACTTAATTATGTCCCCAAAAGACAATGGTTACAGCTAAACACTCGGCTTTGTTGTTTTCCACGAACTGATTCGTGACGTCCAAGCTTGTGCTTCTAGAAGTATGCAACCTTTCAATTACAAAGCTGGACGGCTGGACCCAAAACAGCCTCAGAGTCGCTTTCCCCAGCAAACAGAGTCCAGCAGGTAAACAAAGCAGTCAGACTAGGTGTTTATATGAGTGGAAACGTTCAGATTTTAAACATTCTCTTGAATTCATGAATAGAGAATAAACAACCAAGTTAAATCTGCCGAAAAAATGAAATAATTTCAAGGCTACTCTTCGTTCCACCTTGTTTTGAGCCAGTTACTCTCATATCAACCAAAATGTTAAAAGAGTTGCTGCAAATTTGAACTCCATCTTGTTTTCTAAGCAACTCCAGCAGAAAAAGACAAAAAAAAAAAAAAAAAAAAGAGAGAAAAGGCTCGTCCAACTGCAGGTTGTGGTGAAGCAGCTGCTCCACTTTGTGTTTCTCTGAACAGTTGAGTGTGAGAGGGAGAGAGTGTGTTGTTACACTCACAGTGAAATCTAAAACTGACACTGACAGTCAGAGGAGGGCATAAATATCCCTGCACTGAATCTGCTCCAAGATAAATGTGAACACATGTCAGCAGAGTGATGCCTTACAGTATCCCAGCAGGACAAGGGGAAGATCCATGACAGACAGGTGTGTGATGCCCCGCTCACTTCATTTGTGCCCTATGTAGGATTTTGTACTTTGACTTTTTCACATTTTGTCACTTGTGATGAACCGATATGAAAATTAGTGATGATATCATTCAATATTATCATGAATATCAGACAAGTTTTATTTGTTGGACCAGTACTAATGCGTTAAAAAATGACTAACAGCCAATACTAATGTTGTTGCCGATGTATTTTGCTACATGACGATGCATCATCACATTACAAACCCAAAATTATTTATTTGGGTTTTTATGCAATACACCAAAATAAAGCAAAATAGAGCATCCATCCAATTGCCATGGTGAATATTGAGCAAACTTTTAAAATGTCACATGGAAGAAGAAAATTAGCCATGTCTCCATCTACCTGTTTGGAGCAAATCAACCAGGCTACAACAAAGGGTAATTTTGTCAGATGTTGATGTTATGCATGGCTACAAAATCAGGAAGTCGCGGTTGCAACTAGCATGGACCACACATCTCTGAACAATGGAGAGAGGTTTTCAGGAATGTGTTGCCATTGGAGAAGTTGTCATTGTTCTGTCATGTCAGCTAGCATCGGCGATGTAACATGCTGTCTGGAGACGTAGAGAAAGAATGGAAATTCTTATGATTATAACAGAGGGAACAGCGAGACAAATGTTGGTTACGTCAAAACTTATTCAGTAAATGTGTTTCCTTCTCTTCTTTAGTGCGCCAACTATTTTAGAAAAGTGAAAAACTACCTCAAGCTAGTGTAAAGACTTCTGTGCAAAATTGGAGAAGTTATTTTGAATTTTGTTCTCACCTTTTCTAATGTGGTACTTCAAAATGTGCAGAAAAACATTGATTGTCTTTGTGTAATTAACTCGGTTTTGAGGCTAAAAGATTGCATGTTTAAAACTTGATCAGATATGTTCCATACAGAGCGGAGACTGGACTTTTATCTTACGCTTTTATCATACCAAAGAAACTGGTTTTGACATTTTGTAAGAAAAAACAACCATTAGTTCCATCTGTCAAATGACAGCTGGAGGAAATGGTAAGGTCTTATTCATAAGCAAATTGAAGCAAATCAATAAGACTAGGCAACCACTTCAACAAATATTGGGAACTAATTGAAGATGGTTTGACTTGATTGTTGGTGAGGTAATATTACCGTTTGTCAAGAAACAAATAACTGTTATTATTTATGGGTATCAGATTAAATGTGGTGGAACATACATGAATGCCATGTGTTTACCTTTTGTTTGATGTCATAAAATCTCAATGAATGAATACTTTTGCAAGTTGCCATGAACTGAATCTGGACTGAATTCTGCTGGAGTTGGAAAGTTTTTCTTCCCCCTCCACTTCATTTTCACCCTGATTATCCGGATCAAATCGGGTCAGCTGGGTGTTTTAGCACCCAAACCGACAGGAGAGAAAAGGAAGGGAAAGCATTGTGCAAATCTTGTATCTACTTTCTGTTACCTGTCTCTTGAGGGGGAACTTGGACAGTTTCTGCACAGGCGGCGTGGGGAGAGTCTTCTGCGTGGTCATCCTCATGCGGCAGAGGAAGACAATGACCACGGCGAAGACGAAGAGCACGCAGCCCGTCAGGTAGATGAGGATGTCGGCGTAGTAGTCATCTTTGCCCGAGTTCACTGCTTCCGAAGTGAGGAGGCCGAGAAACATCAAAGGCACAGTTTAGCTTTTTATTAGCAGCACAAACACACCAGACACTTATTTCTGCGCAATAAAGACACATGCATCACTTTAATTTCAGAGCTGCGGCAAGTAATTGTAGCCGTTTCCAAAAATGGAGGCAATTAGAGTTTTTGACATCAAGCATAAGGGATGTTTTACACTGTCTCTTAGCCTTAAGATGTCTGAACAGATGATTTAAAGTGATCAAAGAGCAGCAGAGGCGTTTAATTTCATGCCTCATCGTTTCAAATGAAGACATAATAACACGTGCTAAACAAATTCAAATTGCTGGTAATGATCCACTAAAATGCGCAGTAATCAGATTTACAGACACTGCACCGTATGAATACTTCTGTATGAGAGGAAGATGAAAGAGACGAACAAGAATCAACAAGAGAGGCTGTGTGGTGAAGAGGAATATACCTGGAAGCACCGTCAGCCAAGCGGAGTGGTAAGCAAAGCCGATAGAGTTCCCCGCCAGACAAGTGTACTCGCCCGCATCCTCAAAAGTTACATTGGTCAAGAAGAGAACCTCTAGCTCCTTATCTGTTGTGTTAATACCGGCCGTCTGTGGGGGAGGGAGAGGGGAACAGAGATGGAGCAGAAGGATGGAGAGAGGAGATTCCATGAGCCCAAAAAGTTTTATTAAAATAAACACCAAACACCTGAAGAAGAGCAGAGGGCCGAGGAGTCAGCTTTGCCACCACCAACAGCTGAAAATACCAAAAAGCACCGTTACCCAGCTGTGCTCATCTCAACAGAATGAATGTTTTTCTTTAATGTGTGTGTGTATGTGTGTGTATGTGGGGGGTAATGCCAACTTTAAATTAGAAAGACATTTGAAGAAATGTGCATTTCACAGCATCATTTATTTCTATAAGGCAGTGGTGGGCACACTTCCACTAATGCGCTAGTAACAGAGCTAATTTTACTTTTGGCGCTTTAGCTAACTTTGAAAACATTTAGTGCCCTTAGCATTCCCTAAATTAAAGTGCTAATTTGCTTGGCTGTTTAGTAAACATTGAGTTGAATAAAGTTTGACATTTATGTTGTAGTTTTGGTCAATGGCACACATTGTGAGAATCAACATGGTTGAATTTAGCTCATTAGCATTAGTTTCCGCTACATACTGTGTTGGTATAGCACTTTAGTGCTAGCAGAACTAATATTTATGATTAGTGTTTTAGGGTTAGCGCAACTAACTTTTTAATTTGCGCTGCCCACCACTGGTGTAAGGTAAAGGTGGAAGTATCTGTGACCAGCTGACAACAAAACTTTTAACGTGATAAATTTAACAGGATAAAGTTGTAATAGCGGCTTGTGATTTTAAACTGAGCCACTAAAAATGCTCTCATTGTCCATTCCCCATTTTGCCAGGACTATAGCTGCATAGAAATCCCCAAATTTGCAACCACATTTCATTGATATATATATAAAATATATTTAATATTGTTAAATTTGAAGCAATTATAACAATCATCACTGAAAGGACAATTCAAGTTTTCTGAAGTGCATGAAGGTTATACATCTTACCTGCTGTGAGATAACTTTCTGTGGTTTCATTTTGTACAAATTCAGACACATTTTTTGAACCTTTAAAAGTGTGTTTTGAACAGATGTTTGCATGTTTATTTACTGAAAATAGAAACTAGAGGAGGTTTGTCCCCATTTATCTGACTTCTAACTTACTACACTGTTCCCATGGGGACATATGGTGGTAGCAGCATCATTCTGTGGGGTCCAAGCAACTTGTCTATTAAGTAAGAACTACAGGCAGAAAATGCTGTTTTACACCGATAATCAGTCGTGTATCACCTCCTACCTCTACTCTGTTTTACTGTCTCAATTTATGTTCAGATATGTATAAGTAAATCAATTTTGTGTTTTTTTTTTTAAATAAAACTTCTCAATAATAATCTTGAAAACTTAGTTTGATACACTGCGCTTTTAGCAAACAGCATTATGAGTACATAAATAAATAAAAACACTTCAATTATGATTTTTCCTACTTTGACTAATGCTACAGCAACAAGGAGCAGTCAAAAGTGCCTCAGTAATGAGCGCCGCTATCACAGCCCCGTGCTGCATACTCTGATATAAAGGCCATTAATATTGCGGGAGAATGCCCTCCATGGGAAATCAATAGCAATCTTTGTGTTTGAGGGAGGCTTGGTCAGTGAGGTTTTAGATTTATGGCACATTTGTGTGTGAGAGTGAGACTTTTGAAGCCATGGCAGCAATTAAGAACGCAATGTTGTGTCTGCTATTGATCAGGGTCAACATGGCGCTCAGAGTTAAAATGAATGATAGCTACTCACTAGCAAGATGTGATTACTTGAACCCAGTAGAGGAATGCGTGTGTGTGTGTTTGTGTGTGTGTTTGTCCTATTAGCAAGTCAAGCAGACCCACAACCAAGAGGAACCCTGCAGGCAGCGGAGAGCGTCAGACGCGGTGAAGGCGGTTCCTGCTAGCAGCTCAGTATTTACCTGGTTTGTGCACCATTAGCCAGAAAGCTTTTTCCGACATGCCTACAAAGTTTGAGGCACGACACCAGTACTTCCCGGCGTCATTCTCTGTCACGTTGGACAGTTTCAGAATACTTCGAGCCACGGTGTGTTTACTGACATTACTCTGCGAAGGGAAAATTGAGAGGCACAGTGAGGCCTTGGAAAGTCTTGGAAGAACATAGTAGCTGCGTTTCCATTGACCATATAATTGTGCAATTTGACATGTCGAAAATAAAATGTCGCTTGGTGGAAACAGGTTAATTTGGGAAAAAAACAACTATTTTTTCAATAAAATGTTTTGGTGGAAGGATGAGGTGGTTATTTATTTCACAAAACATTTTTCTCCATCACACGAGTCACAACAACTGAATGTTGCCACTGGCGCAAACTACGAAGAAGATGATGGCAGGAAGTTGTTGGTTTTAAATGTTTTTATGAACTGTGATTTTAAAAGACTAATACAATCAACTAACTTAATTCACATGTGAGTTCCATAGCATTTCTTATTTAATGGAAACACTGCAATTATGAAATAGCATTTTTTCGAAGTCTGTGAAGCCTTCAGTAGCTGCGTTTGCCTCAACCACAAAATTACACAAACTGAAATTATGAAAATAAATTTACTTAGTGGAAATGCTGCAAATTAGACAAAGAAACTCATTTTTCAATAAAAAGTTTTGGCAAACAGTGAGATGGTTTTCAGTCGAAATTGGTTTACTTAGCAAAACTGCAATGGAAACACTTTTTTCTGCATCACAAGAGTCACATAATCAACAACTGGATGTTGCCACTGGCAAAAACCACAAAGAAGATGATGACAGGAAGCAGTTGGAGGATGATGGCACTGAATGTTTTTTAATGACTTACTAAGTGAACAAAATTATTCACATGTGATTTTAATTGTGCTTCTTACTTAATGGTAACAACCCAATTGCGAAACTGTGTTTTTTTTTTGGACAAAGTTTTGCATACATTTCTAATGGAAACGCAGCTACTGTAAAAAAAACAACAACAAAAAAACAGCAGCAGCTCAAGAAAATCTCATGTTTTCTATTCATATATGAGCTGAGTTGACTGTACAGTAGAAATAAAAGTGCATTTCACTTGCAGTCTTAAGAACTGACGTGTGAACATCTCTGGTGTTAAATCTCTTATGCATCTGTGAATGCATACCAACTACTAGCTGCCCAGATGGGCCTAAATTATTAAACAGCACATAAAAGGAAAGCAAATCAGATTTTAATGTAGCTAAATGAACATCCAGTGTTTGACTCCTCTTTTTCGCCTCGATGTTAAGTCTTTTTCCAGGCACCAAAGATCAATCCCCCCCCCCCCCAAAAAAAAAAAAAAGAACAACAACAACAACAAAAAACAAACAGTGAAAGAGACACTCCTCCCACCTCGAGCTGTGTTTAAATGCCACACATGAGAGAGAGCATATCATGTCTGAATGAGCTGTGGTGAGTCCTCACTGAGAGGCACACACAAGTTTCTGTAAATACTGTTTCAATTATACGGCGGTCGAAAATAGAGCCTGGAGCCTCAGTCTGGGCCGACGGAGCCGTTCCCCCCCACTCCTCCTCCCCTTCACACTCCGTCTCTCTGCCCATTCATCTCCCCATTTCATCTTGTTTTTTTTAAAATTAAAGTCATCGGTTTTTCACACACTCTCCCAGAGTCTGCTGGATGCTTTATATCCAACATGTCTTACACTGCATTTTTTTTCTATTAAAATTTAAAACAATTAAGTTGCTGTGCTAAAACGGATGGTGAAAGAGCTGGTTAGCTGCAATCATGGTTGAATAAAGGGAGGATAAAAAGACCAGGTGGGATAAGCAGCTTGCTAAATAAATCCAGAATCCAAAGCGCCTAACAGCTATTAGTGGATATTTATTCTATGCATTTGTTTTCATACCAAAATCAAAATAGCATTAAGACATACAATGCTCCTAACTGTAATAAATAATTTCAGCTGCTTTAGGAATAATTGTTGCTGTTCTGTTTTAAATGATAGCAATGAAATCATGGTACAAGTTTTTGCTTAAAATTACAAAAATTAGTTTTAATACAATGAAAGAATATCATTTTTAACCAATTTCATCCTGTGAGAACACGTAAAATGCAAAAATGAAGCATAAAAAAAAGAAAAAGAAAAAAAAGAAAAAAAGGTGCAACAATTGCATTTTTCTGGCCGATCCCCATTAGCGACATTTAAAACATCTGACCTCTAAACACCGATTTTGGCAGATTTTTTTGTCTGAAATGTTGCTAAAGTTGCTGAACTGGTAACAGTAGGGTGACTATTAACTTTTCTTTCACATAGAACATACTCCTCCATCATTTCTTGTTTTCTCAAACCTCCAGTCGGTTGTAGCAGACGGTGTCTTTTACTGAGCCGGGTTCTGGTTCTGCTGGAGGTTTCTTCCTGTTGAAGGGGAGGTTTTCCTCTCTACTGTTGCCACATGCTCAGCATGAGGGATTGCTGAAAAGTCAACAACCCAACACAAGCGATTGTTTACTGTCGCTACATCTTCAGCAATGAGTGAATGTGGAAAGTTTTATTTGAAAAATAAACTGAATTTACTGTACTGTTTGAAATGATGGTTTTTTGTAAAGGCGTCTCGAGACGACATTTTTTGAGAATCGTCGCTATGCAAATAAACTGAATTGAATTGATAAAATTTCACCCCGTCTCTGTCTTGTAAAAAATCCCCCCATAATTAGTGTTTTGGCGACCTGTTGTGCTGTTATGACAAATTCCTTAGAGGAATTGTAGGTGAGACAATTTTTTTTGACACATAAGCAGGATAATAGATGACTGCAGCCGAAGAAAGTCTTTCCGTCTTTAATGTTGCTGTTTTTCTTTTTTCGTGTCGTTGCAGAAAGATGTATGAAGACAGATCCAGGGAAAACAGCCCCGTGACCTTCCTTCCCTCTTATTCCTTCCTTCCATTCTCTGTTTCTATCTCCAACTCTTTGGTCTTAATACCCCTTTTTTGCCTCCTTTTTTTTCTCACACAAGCCTTCATCTAACCCCGGCACTCTGTCACACGTTCTCTCTCTCTCTCCCTGCTGACTTTGCCCTTCCTTCGGTTCCCCCACTCATTTTTTCCATGGCTTTTTTTGGGTGCCTCTTTGCTCTCTCATTCTCTCCTCCTCCTCAAACCACGCGACGCAGCACATCTGACGGCAGCGGCGGTTAGCTGAGCCCGTCTCCCTCCCTGCGTTTGCCGCCACCACAGCAGTTAACTTAGTCCAAACCAGATGTTTGTTTTTATTCCTTCTCTCCAGAGGGACAAGAAAAGAAAAAAAAAAAAAAGCTTGAGGGTGCAAAAGCCCTGTTGGTTTGCGATGGGAGTATTCCCCTCGTCAACCAGAAAACATAAAAAAAAAAAAAAAAAAAAAAAAAAAAAAAAAAAAAAAAAAAAAAAAAAAAAAAACAATGTTAATGGTGGATTCCAGGTGAAGTTGCTTCTTTCAGTAGCTGTGTTTTCATTAAACATAAAAATTGTCCAACTTGAAAGTAGGAAATCACATTTGATTAATGAAAACATGCCAATTTTGACAAAATGTATGTTTTTGTTAAAAAAATTTGATACTATGATGAAATGTTTTTTTTTTGGGCATATCAAAATTGGATTACTTCACAAAACTGCAATGGAAACACTTTTTTCAGATGTTACAACTGGTGGAAACGTCGAAGAAAACATCAGGAAGTAGCATGAGGATCATAGTTTGTTTTTGGGGTTTTTTCTCACAGTATCACAGTTCATAAAAAGTTGTGTGTCATTCCAACTTGGGCTGATTTGTTGGCGCCGATTTCCATCATTTTGGGAGATCGGTGATCGGACTACACTTACATGTGAAGCCGATCTTATCCACTATTTTATCAGTTAACTATAGTCACTGTTACCAACTCAGCAACTTTCATGCTATATTTAGCAGCATTTCAGACAAAAAACATTGATAAACATGATGTCGGCCATCGGCAGGTCTGGCTTTTTAAAGATCAGTAATCCACTATTGGCCAGAAAACTGTAATCGGTACAGCCCTAATTACAACGTGTTCAGTTCATAGCTCTTCTGTAAAATGGCCGACAAGAATTTCCCCAAAACGCTGCATACGTAGCCGCTCCTACGTATAAGAGGCTTTGTCACTGCAACGCCAGAATGAGACCCCAACATCTCCTCTGATGGCTGAATTATGAGCATCTCATGTAGCCGTCATGATTTTTAATTAAATTTATTCACATGATTTTAATTTAATTCCTTATCAATGGAATCACCGCAATTGCAAAATTGTTTATATTTCCAACATCAGCAGAATATAGACAAGGATCTGCACACATTTGTAATGGAGACACAGCTAGTGATGAATTTATTTCATGGGTAGAAAACTCTTCCAAAATAGCAACAAGATGCTTCATCACACGCCACGCTCGCAGTGAGAGCAGAAATCTGCTTTGATTTGCAGTGATATCATTAGCTTAATGGCTCTTCACTTCCACACGCTCCAGTGTGTTGTAACGATGCTTCACCGTTCGAGAAACGAGCTCTTCAATTAAGAGCGGTGAAGGAAGCCCCGTGGCCCCCGCCGGCCCCCCCTTCTGCAAAGGCTCATTAAACACGACATTTAGGAAAGATTAACTACGTGTAAAATTATCTCGCGCCGAGCCTGGCTCCAGGCTGGCTCATTAAGACGTAAACCCACCACGGTGTGTAGCTCCAAACCCACCTTCAGGACGTTGACATAGGGGGCGCCGTCAGGGCCGTAGCGGCTGCCGTTCACCTCGATGTGTTTGAGCCACTGGATGTGCGGCTGGGCGTCACTGTAAACCTTACAGTGGAACTCCACGTCGCTGCCCACCACCACAGTCTGATTGGCTGGCAGGCCCGCCTGGAGGATCGGCCGGTGGGGCGAGCGCTCTGAGGGAAGCATAGACAGTAAGGCTTTTTAATTTTTTTTTTAAAACCAGATCAGACAGATTAAATTATTCCCTGAATATTTATGTGAGACGCTGCAATTTAAAATGAATTCTGAGAGCAACAGGAAAGCAGTGAAACGCAGACGAAGCAGACGTGGAATGAGCTCTCTTGTTAGAACTAGCTCATAACCTGGCCGCAGAATTTTAAAGGACTTGTAAATGTTTAAGCGAAAGCTTTGTTTAGGCCAGTAAACAAGACTGTAAGCATGAAAAAGACATGAGCAATTTTGTCTAGTTTAATAGACAGCAAAACAGGTCTGAGTTTAGAAACATTCCTCACACTGTAAACGTCAAAGTAAGATGAATTTTACAAGTTCCAAAAACTGAACATGTTGGACATACAGATAAAATACAGGCTTATTGAGGGTTAAACAGGACAAAATGTATAAAAAAAAAATAAAAAAAAAACTTTATTAAATGTACAATGAAATAAATTAATGTTTAACTAAATATTTTAATCATTTATTTACTGTAAAATGAATTTAAGAAATATCTCATTAAATCATTAAACCTAAAATTTAGGAAAAAATTGTTAGCATAAAAAAAATTATAGGAACAAAATAAAACATGCAAACTATCTAGTTAGATAATTTAATAGTTTCATTGTTCCTGTTCCTGCAGAGTTACCGTGAAGTCATTTTATCTGTGAAACTCCTCCATAAAATCAAAGGGCAGTGCTGTGGGCGGGGCCAACACTGATCTGCTGAACTCCGCTAGCTTAGTGTAATTTTAATGGAAGATTTCCATGACATTTTACAGTTAGACGACATAGAAGCAGGAGATGGCCATTCAGACTACCTGGAGGATAAAGCTGAAGTTCTACTCACCCAACATCAATGTGAAATCATGCAGCCATTTCTACTCCCTCTGTTAGAAGATCCGGCAAAAAACTACAGTAAATTAAGCTAGCTGCGTTCAGCAGGTCAGTGTTAACCCTGCCCCGCAGTTTCAATGGGCAACTCTGACAGATAAAATTATTTCATGGAGCAGGAGTTATATAATTACATATATATTTAATTATTTGTGTGCATCAGCTATAAGTTAATATTTTAATGATTTAATTACATATTTAATAAATTAATTTATATTAATTAAATTGAATATTTAATTAAATGTTTATTTACTTCATATTACTTTACCTAATAATGTACTTATTGATTTTATATTGCTGCTAATGATTTAGTGATTTTTTTTAAAATTTTGTCCCTTTTATCTCTCCGTGTCAGCTTAGTTCATATTGCTGTAGGTGGAGCAGCGATTTCTGTTTCAGTTTTACTGCAACTTTAATAAACTGTCAACACAAGAGCTCACTTTTCAAACTGCTGTTGCTTACAAACATACACAACTGAATATCATCGGCATAAAACGTAATAAAAAGACTGAATAACGGCAGCTGAAAGTGAGCGACAGAAGGATAACCTTTAGCTTTTACAAGTTAAAGTGAAAGTAAATGCTTACCTAAAACGTCCAGCTGGTAGGTGTGACTGATGGTGCCGTACTTGTTCTGCACCACGCAGGTGTAGTTTCCCCGGTCCGACGGCACGGCGCTTTCCATCACCAAACTCCACTGCTGGTGTCTCAGCTGAAGACAGAAGGAATGCGTCATTAGTACCAGGACTGTCACGATAAACATTCCTGGATGATGAATTGTGCCAGTAATTATTGCGATACAGGATAATATTGTTTTGAGGTAATTTTCAAAGATAAGGATGTAATAATGCAAGTGTGCCCTCCTAAAGACCGATAAACTCTAATTTCACACTGGAACTGGAAGATATTTTAATTATCCAAAAATAAAACCAAAAACAATAAATAAAACAGAAATGAAAACCACTAAATTAATAAAATGGATTAATTTTATTAATCCATTCCTTCAAAAAATATTAATCTGGATGAAAATCATCCAGCTAATTTAATTTATCATCCAACTGACTAATTGCAACATGCTTAATTACAACATGGTTTAAGTTAGAGAGCTAAAGTCCATTTGAAAACATCTAAGGAGATGTGTCTTATTGAGTTTAAGACACAATAATAAAACAAGCAGGTGCGAGTGTTACAAACTGAACTCTACAATGCCAGAATTTGTTTGACGTATACACATACAACAGATTATTGTCTGCATAAAACGTAATCAAATCAACACCAGCTAAGGAACATGCATAACAGAAAGATACAGGCTAGATTTTTCACTTTATTGTGGATCACTATAATTCTCAACTTGATAACACAGCTAAAATTCATAAACAATGAAGGTTAAATTATCATCATTCATCAACAGAAGCCATTTTCACACTGGGTTACTTTCACAGGTGAGTGTTCAGCAAAGCAAATGTCTGTGTCCACTGGCTGTGAGGGCTGACAGACTTTTTCTTCTTTTTGCACCTCCAAAATTGGTTCCACTGTACCACTCAAGAGCAATCCATCGCCGGAGACTCAAAAGCTAAATTTTACGCAGTAATTCAAACCAGATGCGGCTGGAAGGCACGACAGATAGATACTAAGTTGACAGGCTCAGAAGGCAAAGCAAAGGGGAGGGAGTTGGCAGAGGACCACGGGCCGGCGGGGGCGACCCGCGCCGCTTAACGGGAGGAAACGGGCGCCGCAGGGTGAACTTCACTTGAAGAGGTCAGAATGTCTAATGAGTGATGTCAACAAGGTGCCTTTTCGGGGTGGAACACTTCACCTCACCTGCGTAGGGAAATGTTTTCATAAACATGCTTTATGGGGGGAACCGGACAGATATATGCGTCGCATTTGCAGGCAACGAATCCCTCCTACCGTTCTTTCTTCTTCTTCTTCCCTCTGGAGCACACACTTCTTCACCCTCTCTCTTGGAGGTGCATTCGGAAAATAAAGCAACAGTGTAAATATTATGCCTGAGTGTGCTTTTTTTTTCATCTTCTTCTTCTCGCAGTTGCATGGTAACATAAACCAGGCCGCCGCTCGGCGTTGGCAAATGGTTTTTCTGTGGAATGGCTGGCTCCACCCCGTCTATCCCCTCTCTGAGATGAGGAGTCAAACTCAAGTCAATGGCTGCTCTCATGAGCAGATGAGTGACGCCTTGTGCTGTGGTCGCTGAGGGGAGGAAAAAAATAAAAAAGTTGGTGCATGAGAAGGGAGGAGGCTAAAATGTGGTAAAATATGAGCTGGAGCTGATATTCAGTGAAAGCCAGGACCACCAACAGAACCAGGGAGACTATAATCACAGCTACGCCATACATTTACCACTCTCTCTCTACTTCTGGGACTCTGATGTGAAAACATTTAATTTCAGATGTTACGTTTTTGATGAACTTTGTAAAAAAAATCTGAACTCATGTTTTGGTTTTAAATGTGCCATTTCACAATGCGTAACATCCTGCAAAAGGATATATAACTCTGTAGCTTTTCACACATTTTATGTTCTTTGTTGAGATTGTAAGTGATAGAGCAACATAAATTAGTTCATACTGGGCAGTGGTAGGATACAGTGGGAGGATTTGTTCAAAAACGTTTACAAATAGAAACCTGAAAAGTGTTGCTTCCATTTCTACACAGTCCCTTCTTAAGCAAAACCATCCAGTTACATTCAGAAGTTCCAGTGGGAACCTTTTTGTCTGTGCATTTCTGGTAGGCCTGTAAATCTGACGTACAAGCAATATCTGCAACGATGGATGGCAAAGCCGCTTCTCTTCGTCCACTGCGGGTTCATTTCTTCTTCAAAAATTGTTCTGATTGGACAATGGAAAAGATTATTGTTGTGTTCAAGTTGTGCTAAAAGCAGTTAGCCTGTAAGCAAAGCTATTCAAGCCTAAAATAGCATCTCAATGCTAAACGTGTAGCAGCAGCACAGACGTCCCCAGGGCTAACGTCAGCGTCCACGTTGCACATTTCTAAAGAAGTTCCATCAATGATCAGAGTTCCTGAAACACTGAAAATATTGAGTAGAATAACACTCTGCACCAATCTGATGGTTGAATAACCTAAATAATGACAAATATCTTTCATGTTGAGCTCAAATATCAATTTATTTAATAATCAAATTGATGGATCTCTAGTAATGACTCAAGTGAATGTCCCACTCTTCAGATATTCATTTATAAAAAAACCTCAAAACATCCTGGTGCTGGTGTATGACATAAAATTCCCCCCAAAAATGCCAAAAAAAAGTTTGCCATGGCGAGACACTGTATCCATCTCTCTCTTTCTGAAATTGAATTTCTGCTGTTGATTAAATATGAACTCAGTGACTTTGAGCGTCAACATTCCTCCGACTTTCATTGGTCACTTTAATTATTTTCTACACGCAGGCCATTGGCTTTTATTAACATGTTACACTGGCTAACCCCTGGTGAACCTGTAGCATTAGTCCCCAAACGTGATAATCCCATCCATTTCAATCATGCCAGATTCCAAGCAGAATTAAATTATTAAGCAGCTTATGTTCCAGTCATACGAGGCTTTAAAGGTTTTAGGGGCTTTGGCCGCGGCTGTAGGGAGCAGCGCCAGCCATGGGAATGGAGGGGGGGTTCACACTGCAAGGAAACGCCTGCATCGAAAAAAGACAAAACTAGAGATGCACCGATCCAACATTAAGACCTATACCAGAACCGATACTGGAAAAAATTCTAGATCAGGTATCTGTAACTGTGCAAAATCCATAAGGACAGATCTATTCAGTCTAATTCTATGCTTTGTGCTCTGAGCAACGTCATGCTTTATTATTTACTTTTAGAATTTCTATTTGCACTTTCTTAACAATTTGAAAGAAGGTTTGTTGCAGTTTATTTTTTACGTTTGACCAAACTAGTCAACTTATTGTTTTTGTCAGTTTCAGTTTCTTAATTATTTATTTTCCATTGGCTGTTCTACTCCTAATTATACTGACTGAACAAATTAAAGTTGTTTTTATACGTTTGACCAAGCTAGTGAAGCTATCGGTGTATTTTAGTGATCTGTACTAGTGCAAAGTTACACCAAATGTACATTAATGTCTGTTTAAAAAAAGAAACTGTTGTAGTGAGTTCAGTTCAGCTGTTTTTCTGTAGGTGACCGGCTGACACTGAACCTCAAATAGGTATCGGTATCGGAAGTGGAAAGAAGTGAATCTGTGCATCCTGAGACAAAGATTTTGTTGTTTCCGGTACAGAGGGAAGACACTGAAGTACTCTTTGGTTAGCTCATCCCAGCAGCTGGCCATTTCATGCATTTCAACAGACAAAGTGAATTATCCTTGATGGACGTTAAAAAAGAAAAAAATAGAAATGTTTTGGTGGTGTAGTAGTTGTTTGAGAAAACACAGGAAGCGCCGTTCCCCTTTATAGTCCAAACCCTCTGTCTTCACCTCGCAAAATAGCCCTGTCAGAACAAGTGGGGGCCAGTTAGCAGAATTTATGAGTGTGTCAGAGCGGACCAGCGGCCCGGATCCGTGCTACTGTCTAATTTGACCCGCAGAGAGGGCGGAAGCAGGAAGACGCGGCCCTTCGGGGCTCACTATTAAAACTGGGAAAGTTTTGTTCGTCTGCTGCCTGACTTTGGCTCAGCTTGACACTCGCATCAGCGACGACGAGGATGGGGTTATAAAACGGGATGTGTGAAAGCGACAAAATTGAACCCTGTTAACGACAAGTCCTGCCTTTCAAAGCCATAGTGTTTTTTAATAAAAATAAAAAAAATCAACAGGTGAGGAAAGTGAGCTTTGTGGCAATGGGAGGTCTAAAATTAGATGAGGAAAAAAAAGAAGGGTCTAAAAATATCTCACAAGCGAAGAAATTCTAGTGGAGGCTGAGCTAAAAACTGTAGTGGAAACTGGAGGATTTTGAAGTGCTTAAAGTCTTAAAAAGTAACAGTGGAGGCAGATTAAAAGCCCCTGCTTTGGAAAGCTGTCAAAACAGAGAGTGAAAATTCTGTATGGAAGAAGAAAAAACCCCCCAACTAATAACGCCGTCAGCAACACAATGAAACCCCCGCTTCCGCCAAACAGCAGCTTTATGTGTTGGAAGAGAAAAGATGGCTGAAAGGGCTTATGGCACGCCCATCTCCTGCCATGTCCATCTGACAGCTCAATAGAGGGTTAAACTTTGACCTTCAGGCCCTGGCCTCGGAGAGCTCCACAGTTGCCGGGAAGCAGAACGGAGCTGGAATCTGAGATTTAATAAATGATGTACACATCTTAACAACAACTTTAAAGTGCTTGAAAATTAACTTAAATTCCTCAAAAGACACGCCGAGAGTGGGAGAGGAATAATTAAATGTATGCTTCAGAGCAAAACGTAGACCTGCTATCTGATCGCTCCATATGTCTTTTTTACTGCAGTGAGCCTCGATGTAGCCAAACTCCGTCAAGTATGGCATTGTTTTTATGCCATATTAGATTTGTCGTGTTGATGCATTTTGATGTGCTTCACCCCACGTGCCTCAATTTTCTGCCGCAACGCGCAAACTTCCCCATTCACTCAGTGCGTTATAGGATTTGTTGCTGCGCGTTTGCGCAGTGAAGTAAAGAGGAGACCAGCTGCACATGCAGGCTGCGAAATAAGAAACAGGTGATCGGTTTGTGTGATTGGCAACAAGAGACCGTGATCGGCAATCACCAATCAAACACTTTTTCACGGAAATCGGCCGATTATGATCGGTGAACGATTGATCAGCACACCTCTATTTCTTATAGTACATTTTATTTTATTTTCAAATATTTTCAAATTCAGAAATACTTTATTGATCCCAAAGGGAAATTAAATGTAACTCATATTAATTCCAATTTATTTAAAAAGTAATTGTAGATGGCTTCTGTTCAAGAGGAGCTATTATTGCTGTGCCATGCATTCACTGCCATGTAGTCATGTAAAAAATACATAATAGTTTTTCATCACAATTTTTACCGTCATCACAAGAGAACCACAAAATATCATGATAAAATTCAAAGTCCATATCGGTCCATCAGTTTTTGCTCATTTTAATTTATTGCTTATTGTGACAGGCTTGGTTGAATCTTTCAGTGGAGCTGACAATCTGGCAGTGAGCGAGCTGCTATCTGACTGAAATTATGCCTGCTAGCTAACGGTCTGACGGACTTCCATCGAAAAAGTTTAATTGAAAAAGTTTTAATGGCTTCAGGCCCAACCGCCTGATTTAGCTAGCAATAAGTCAAATAGAACTGGGACAATGATCAGAACTATGCCACGGGTCGGTTAGCTGCTCCTTAAACACGCGCCTCACGTGAAGAGCAAAGCGGTCCTCAAAACCAGCATGGTTGAGATTCATTCAGCTAAAATGACCCCTGGCTGTCAGGACCAAGATGATGTTGTCAAGTCAGAATGGATGCAGCAGGAAGATGGCTTCACCTTCAGGACCCCGATGGGAATAGAGTCTTTAGAATGTCATTGTAGTGGTGACAGAGCCGAGGCCCCGCCCCCATGGCTTCTGCCCCCCCCCCCACATGAACCCATCACCTCCACATGGAAGACGGGGTGATACGGGGTGACGGAACGCTGTCCGCATCAGTCCATCGCTCACACTGATGTGGAGACAATTCAATCTGTTTGAAATACTTCATGTCTTTATTTCTATTTATTCATTCCATTTCCATAATTGAAAGCTACAGAAGCGTCTAGCTGGCAGAGCTCAGAAAGAAATTCAAGAAAGGTATCGTTCTCGTTATGACGATATGCAAATCTCATCATTATAATGAGAAACTTTCTTGTTTTTACCAGGTATTTAAAAAACATGCTCTTCTGACAGACTGCGACTTGTTAAAAGGTATAAAGACACCCGGTTTCCTCGAGACGGCTTCTAAAAATCCCAAGAAGTGTTAAAGTCTTAATGTTAGGATCTTTCATATTTAAAAGGGGAGATATTTTGATTTCAACGAGGTTATGCATCTCTGTATAATGTGTTTTGCATCTCATTATGACAAGAAAGTTTTCTCTTTTAAACAAGGCACTGCTCCTGAATTTATTTCCAAACTCTGGCAGTTAAATGCTTCCATAGGAATCAAATTACACACAGATAGATTATATTTACCAATTAGGTGACTTCTGAATGTAATCAGCTGTTTTTATTTAGAGGTACTATAGTAAATTGGGGGAGGATGGGCTGAATGAGAATTTGAATTTGTAAAAATATCGTTTCACTGGTACTTATTGAAACTTTTTAATCAGCATAAATTTTGATTTAAAAAAGTCTTGAAAAGATACATTTTTGGACATTAGAAGTTTCCGATTTGTGAAAGGCTGGAAGATTTAACAAGAAATAAATGTTAAACAATTGATGCATTTTTTTTTAATTTCTTTGAATTAGACTTAAGGTCTAGAGAGTGATGGTACTGTTGGCAACAGACAACGAGATGTTTGTTTAAATATCACATCACAGTATAATGAACTGTGTGGTAGAAAGAAGAAAAAAACATTTTGGATGACAAGAAAAATCAAGTGTTGTTAATATCAAAGACACTAAAATGCAGAGAAAATAAAGATATTAATGAGGCGGTGATGTAGTCAGAGGTCTGAAATTCGGATGGGGTCAAGCTGTTAGGCCTGACGACCCCGAAGCCTGACTGGCGTGTCACCCAGTGCCATGACCTCTCCCTTCACCTCTGCGAGAGCAAACACTGCCCGCATGGTGATCACTAACTGGATCCTAAAACCGTTCTGGGACAGAAGGGAGGGGCGGAGCACGTGAATATTACTCAATAAAGACACATGGGAGAACGTCTTCATTAACCAACACAGACATAAAGGAAGATGTTCCACTTTTTCTGCCATGTTCAATAAGAGAGGAACATCTTAATAAGTCATCAATCTCCCCTAAAGATCTAAATTTAAATTACGGCTAAGGAGAAGTAAAGCAGCTTTAATATACCAGATAGAATAGTAGGCAAGTGAGTAATTAAATGTGAAAATCAAGATGTCAATACGCTAATGTTAGTAAGGGAAAAAAAGCATAAGGTGCAACTGTTTGGGAAAAATCTTTAGACCAGAACCGCTTTAGACTTTTCAGAATCAAATCAGAATTTTGATGCGTTTTCTAAGTTATCACCATCTGCTGGAGCAGGGGAGGTATTACAAGGCTTTTACAAAAAAACAAAAGGTCATTAGTACAAATTGTCCTTAATTCACAAGAAATACTCAAATATTTTTTTTAAGTAGAACTGATGTAAATGTTCCCCATAGAAGGACTTTCACAGGAGTTCAATGAAGAAGTTGAAGATCAGACAAACAGGTGGAATAAACATGTTATACTCTGAACAGTCAGTTGGGGATTAATCTGTTGCTAACAACGTGGAACCAACCTTATCATCAGCAAATCATCATGTACACTACAGACGCTAAAAGCTGCTGTCGGGGAGCCACTTCAGTCCAAGTTAGGGTGTCCTGAGGGCTGCTGACAGGTGTGTGTGAATCTGTGCGGGTTGGTGAGTGTGTGTGTGAGGTGGGGGAGAGATAGATAGATAGAAGAACAGAGAGTGGGGACAGAGCGGGGGAGACAACTGCTGTTGGTCTGCTGGGAGCAGATGTTGGAAATCTCTGTAAACTGTTAATAGCTGCAGGATCTCATTACATTTAACTCTTTAAAGGCCAAAGTTCCACTTTGGAAGAAATATGTTTCAGTGCTTCTCTGCTGAGACATTATAAGACGCTAATTTACAACCACAAAGTGACGTTTTAATGCCAGTTTTCCCATGATATTCTTCAAAATACAAATTTATCTAGTGTAAAACAAGATCCTGTTACAGTATTTTTTCATGGGTGATCAAAATCTGCTGTAAAGATTATTCAATAGAGAGCAAAGTAAGAGTAACTCTGACCAATTGAACATGTTTGGCAGGACTTTCCAAACCGAATACCAGTGAGTTCCAATATTACTGTACATATTTAGTCATTAGTTATTAGCTAAACAAACCTAAGGCTGTGACAGAGCTCAGCTTCAAGTGATTCTGATGACAAAACTGAACACAGCAGCTGTTTGCTGCAGCACTTCACTGTCAGCGCTGGACTATCATGCGAGCATGCATGTGTCTGGTTTCAGGATGTAGTTTGGCCCCCCACCACCACCACTATTAAACTTATTTTGGTCGTTAGTTGGTAGAGTATGCCTCCGTGGCGTCTTTCACGACATTTATACACCGTGAGAAGATCCGCCGGGCACGCCATTCTATCACCACTCAAGGTTTACGCTCCTTTAGTTACGGAAACTCACGTCAAGGACCAATCCTGGCTCTAACCCTACGGATGGATGGACAGCGGCGTATCTATCCTCCCAGGGGGATTAACATGCCTTGCTACGGGACACTCTGGTAGCACCTTAAGGGGTGGAGATTGCAACCTCCGCCTGGCAGAGTTCCAAGTGTAAATGTTTGAATCTAATCCTGAACTCCTCTACCCTTTTAGGTGTCAACATGCTCTTCCTCTCACCTTGATGCCTCCCATTCTCTGCTCGCCCTTGAACTCCTTGCCGTTCTTGAGCCAGTGGATGGTTGGCATTGGGTTTCCGTCGGCGGCGCAGCGGAACTTGACGGTGTTGGCTGCGGGGACGGCCAGGAGCTTCTTGTCCATCCGTTCGGGCTTGGTCCAAAAAGGAGCTTCTGTGGGTTCAAACACAAAATATCGTTACAGACAATAAAGGAATTCCCACAGAGCTGAAAGGACTTAAGAGAAAAATGCTAAATAGGCCTGCTGGTCGTTTTCTGCTCCTGTTTTCTTTTTTAGATCATATTACATTTTGAGGAAAGACCTTTTGGGAATGTACACATACATGTTACTATAATTACAAAAAGATGGCGCAGAGGGGAGAGCTTGATCTCCTGCCCTGTTCTGAAAGTGATGCAGCTTGGATGAGTTATGCACTCTGCCAGAAAAAAATGGGAGATTCGAGATTCTGGATTCCAAAAGATCCTCCGCCACAACAATGTAAAAAGCAGGAAACATGAGTTGGCTCTTCAAAGTTTCAGCTTTATTTTTAAAAATTTGGACACACATTTGTGCAAAAGTAGTCGCACCTAGCCAGGGGGCAACCAGTCTATTGTTCTGAGCGTCGCTTCGCCCAGAGGAACTGGACCACTGGCTATTGAGAAACGATTGTTTCCTGGAGGCATGGACTCTGTCAAAGTCTGCAATGATTTTACTCAATCACTAACGTTTAGTCGTGACATATGTAATACTCCAACTTGATGAAGTTTACTGGCAATTGTGTGCGCTGTAAACAACTTAGAGATGGGAATCCAGCGGAATTGGGTAGGATGACAATGGCCAAACATACAACCACAAACTTCAATGTATTTTATTGGGATTTAATGTGATAGAGCAGACGATCTACCTTCCAATGTGACTGACCTGTGGCTCAGTATGGAAAACGGTCATATGTTACTGTTGGAAGCTTACAGGCACCTGCGGACAAAGTTCTAATCCAATCCCGTTTTCATCCAATTTCAAGCCCCGCTTGATTTACAAAGGGTGTTGTTTAGTTCATAACAGCGTCGCAGAGAAAAACACGGCGTGACAGAAATTGAAAAAGCATTAGAAGCGAAGCCTGAAGCTCTCCGATGGTCCGAACAAAACTTATCATCTCCTCCGCCTCCGAAACAATGCGAGGGTTCATCTGAATTGCGCGATCCTGGGAGTTTGGAAACCTGTCAGGGTCGATTTATTGAGTTGTATTGAGGAGACGCTGGACAAAGGGAGTGCAGCCAGTCAGACGAGCTCTTTGTCCCATCTGTGAGGATGAGGAGGGTGAGAGCACTGAGGCATGGTATGCTCACTCTCTTTACTGGTCTCTCTCTGTGTGTGTGTGTGTGTGTGTGTGTGTGTGTGTGTGTGTGTGTGTTTCCCTGGACAAAAGCTGGGGAGGTGGCTGACCAGTCATCAGATGTCTCTTTTACTTTTCCAAACTCCGGAGGGGAGAGAGGAGCTAATTACCATCTGAATGCCAGGACTTCTGTCCGTGTGTGTGCTCCATCAGGCGTGTATGAGATAATAATTAAAAAGTAATCCGAATCCCCCCAGGCCCCACCCTGCAACAGCCGAAGTGACGCTTTCTTACTTCAGGTGGGACGTCAATCACTGCCAAATTACAATCTCGGCGTCAGATCTGCTACATGTGCTTTTATCACGATGCCTGCGGTGTTCTGATGCATTTCTGACACACAGTGTTTTGGCTCCTGCTTTCAAACACTGGCATCGGCTTCACAGAGTAATTGAAACCAGACTGAGGGAGATATTCAGTGTTGAGAGACACAGACGTATCCTCTGAGAAAGCAAACAGAAGGTTCCTAAAAACCTATCAGACAGACAGTAATTGAGCAGGTGTGCGTGGAGCGCAGACTTCCACCGTCCTCAGCTTGCAAAGACAAACATTCTCCCCACATCCAGCACTTTGCACACTATCTCCACCTCCACCACCAAATGGAGAAACTCTGAGGCTTCCTGACTTCCCCACTCGCCCCCCGATCTCCCTGTAGCGTTAGCGACTTGTTACTCCCTCTTGGTGTGGGACAACCCTCCAAGGAGTCTGAACACATTGTTTTCTTGGCACTGCAGTAAGCCACACACACTCAGTCCAAAAAAAGAAAAGTAACACACATACACAGGGTTTTTAAACAGTCGCTTTCCCAATGTGTGGTCCTTCTGCTTCTGAACTCATCCAAGCCTGAAAACGCTTTCCTGCTGTCGGTCCCTCAGCCACAATGATGTCTCCAACCCCAGAATAGATGGGGACTAAATACGTTGGAGGAGTCACCATGGTTTCCTACCCAAGTTTGGCGTTTTTTTTCTCTTCCAACATCTTGTTCAGTCATTGAGACATCCTTTATTGTAATCAAATTCCAGTCCAAGTACAACATCTCTGAGGATTCTTCCCAAACAATATCTTGCTCCGATAGTGATATACAGACAATAAAACTGTATAGGTGCACCAAGAATTTGACTGGATTTCCATCTTGAGCGGGCCTCGATGACCGACAAACGGAAGTCTTAAAACAGATCTTTTTCAGTTAATTGAACACACCATCACATAGAGCTTCCAGGTCACGTTGACAGCAGCATTCTTTGGTGTTTACGATGGTACTGACCACAGAAACTTTCAAAGTTACCTTTTTTTATGTTAGCTAACCATTTCCTGTAAAAGTTTGACTTGCTGGTTCTGACTGCAATCAATCTTGGACTAATGCATACAAGAATGTGCGGTCAGATGTAATAGGTGATAGTTTTGACAAGGTGGTCATTATTTTTGCATTAAATGCATACATTCTTAGGTTTTATTTAATTTTTAATAAAATTAATAAAATGCATCAAAGTAGCTGGTGCATTTTTAGAGTTCTTTGTCTTTTTTCTTATTTTTGATGCATTTAATAAAATTGAGAGAGTAGAATCTGATTTTTCGGTATTTGAGAAGTGAATTATCTGATTCCGAACTCTTTCCTACTGATTGGTGTTTCTTTGTTTAAAAGAGAACTGTCTCATGAAGTGTTCATTTAGAGTGAACGAGAGGGCAAGAGTTTCACCTGATAACAGGAAAACTGTTCTCTGTTATCCTGAAACGCTTCCAACCTCTGAGTGTCACAAAAGAGTCCAGGACTGATGATGAAGGGTTCTCTAGAAAATCTGGTTCGTTTGGGGAAGTGTGAATCCGTAATCCAACTCTGATGAGGACCAAAAAAACAAACTCTGGTTTGCCTACAAACCCAAGTCTTGGTTCATCTGCCGACATAAATAATTAATGACAACTGCTGGAAGGCTAGAAAACAAATTTCTGTGGTTCTTTTATTTTTCTCATAGTGTTTAATTCAGAATTGGATGAAATTGGCATAGACTAAATATGAGAAATTGGTCACAGCATAGTGATTAGGGCATCTTAACACAAAAGAAGCAAGAAATATAAAAATAAAAGTGAAACAGAAGAGATAAATTCTATCACTACACCAATATAGTATAGGGTAATTTCTCTGAATTTAGATTCAGAAGATGTAGCAGCAAAAACATAAAGCCTTCCTTCACTTTAAAAGCAGCAGGCAGTAGCTGTTCTGATTGCAATATGACTTTTCTTTCATATTGCAGTCTGGCTCCATGTGCTCTGCTACACACAGGAATTCTATCCCATGTCTAATTGGCAGGATGGTATTTCCTCAGCAGAGGCGGGATTTTCATGGGGGTGGGAGGTGAGGGGGGGTACCTCCAAAGAGGCACACGGTCCACAGAACCCTTTCCTGCCTGGATATTTGCTGTAGTGGAAACTCTTCCACTGTAACAGCCTGATTCAGCCATGCCACTGCAGACGTGACCACCTGACAGCTGCGGAGTGGGGAAAACGCTCCCAGTGCCTAAAACTACACCAGTGGCTTCCAGCATGTTTGATAACTTATTCCAAAGTGTGATGGAGGAAATCACTGAACACAGAAGGAAGAAAGGCCAGTCAGTGGGAGGAGCAAAGACTAACTGCTCTATTACAGAGTCCTATCGCTCTGATTTGACAGGAATGTACAGAAATATTTCAGTTTCTTCTGTATAAAAATACATGATCAAAATACTGCTTTTAAAACGACAGTAAACGCAACTGTGTTGAAACATAGGGATGGCAGAATCATTATGTGGGGACACTTTGCAACATAAAAAGAAAAAGAAAAGCTATACATCTTTTTCCTCCCGAATTTGTTCTCAAGTTTCTGTTGGTTTATCAAATAAAAACGTTTATGTTTGTCAGGGACACATCGATTCGCTTTTTCACTTCTGATACTGACGCAGATATTGGCCGACACGATCCGATACAGAAAAACAGCTCAAAACATTTCCTTTTTCAAATGCAAACATAGATGCACTGAATTACAAGTGTATTTGCCGACTCTGCCCCATAACAGCTCACTTTACTACCAACAGCTTCACTAGCTTAGTCAAACATGTAAAAACAACTTTATTTGTTCAGTCAGTGTAATTAGGAGTAGAACAGCCAATGGAAAATAAATAATAACAAATAAACTGACAAAACAGATCGACTATTTTGGTCAAATATATAAAAATAAACTGTAACAAATCTTTCAAATAGTTCAAAAAGTGCAAATAGGAATATAATGTAAAATATATAATGCATGACATCGCTCAGAGTACAAAGCATAGAATTAAACTGAACAGATCTGCACTTATATACTGGGAAAATTGTCACCGATACCTGCTCTAGAATTTTTTTCAATATTTGGACTGATACAGATATTAATATGTAATTTGAACGACATCAAAAGGCGTGAAAAGGTTAGTTAGATCCGATCTTTTGTTTTTTCTTCTAATGCTGCTCCACATGCAGATGAGCTGTTTTTATATGAACAGAAATAAACTACAGAGGTTAGTGGAGTTGTGCAGCCCCAGCATTGATATACACTCTATGGCTGTTTTCCTTTAAGCCCTGCTGTTCCCACTGCTCCACCCTCTCCGACCCCAAACCCCTGCTTCCGTGTCTTCACATTCCCTCTGACTTCCGGCTCCGTGCTGCAGGTCAGAGAGCCGTGACTGCGTTACATCTGTCTACTGAGCTTGAGCGTGGCGGCAATTAGACGGGGCAGGACGTGGAGGGCGGCCGGCGGCCGGGGCACGAGGCCTGCCAGCACTGACACACCGCACCGGGTGAAGTCGAAGAGGGTGTTTTAATTGCGTAATTGTATAATTTGCCCTCGCTGACGCCTGTGAGCACACAGGCAGATTTCATTACAGATTACACTGGGGCCCTTTGAAGGCGCACTGCGCTGGAGGGCCTGCGGGGACCGAAGGAAAACAGAGCTGGAGGAATGGCGGCTGTGGAGCAGCGTTGCATGGCCCGGCGTCCGGCTCTCTGCTCTCCTGCCAGGGTAAACACGGAGGCTGCATAGCTCCGGAGCACGGCACAGCACAGATTAGGCTCTGTTAACATTCCACCCTCCAACACACACACACACGCTGCACTTTTTACTCACCACAAGCTAAGACAGTGGGCACTGCTTGTCCACTCAAGAAAAAAAAATGGACTTTCAGATGTCCCGTTCACTGTGAGCGACTGGAAGATAACTGAACGCTTACATTAGTCACTTTTAGACGCCTCAACCACTGAGGCATTTCAGGGCTTCAAAGGGTGGAAGAAGAACCAGTACATATGGAGACATTGAGTCTTAATCTGCTAAGTAATCTACAGTAGAGCTGAAACGATTAATCAAATGAATCGTGATTAATCGATTATTAAAATAATCTGCAACTACTTTAGTAATTAATTCACTGTTAACTGGAGTATAAAGACTCTATAAAAAGGTAATTTCCTGAAAGAAAGAGGTAGAGATAATTGAGCTTCTCAACCCATGGTAGAGCCCAGACACCCTATGGAGGAAACTCATTTCACACGCTAGTGTCCGCAATCTCGTTCTATCGGTCACTACCTGGAGGTTGTGACCATAGAAGAGGGTCGGATTGTAGACCGACCAGTAAATCCAGAGCTTTGCCTTTCAATTCAGCTCGCACAAATTTGTCTGACTTCCCACTCATTTGTGAACATCTTGTGCTCTCAAGGTAAAGAGTCTTTCGTTCACTCCGCTCCCTCTTGGAACTTTCTACAAGAAACTCTGAGACTGACTGAATTCATCTCATTTAGTGCTTCTGCATCCAAACTAATGACATGTACCGGTTTCTGTAGCTTGACATTTTCTTTTAACTATGTAATTTTGTTTAGCTGCATTTGGCCGGGACTCCCTTGAAAAAGAAGTTTCTAATATCAATGGTAAAATAAAGGTAATAGTAGGTATGAATAATTTTGGAGGCCACTGCTGTTGTTAACCTCAGTTCCTTATCCGTTTCCGTTTAGCTGTGGCTGTATTTCCTGATGCAGTGACCTCCCGATTTAGTTGGAGGCATTCACACGGAACTAAGTTTACAAAGTCAAATCTTCAAAATGTCTTCCTCAGATTCTTCCACCAGGTGTGTTAATGAGTCACATCCCTGGTAGAGTCCTCTCTCTGTGTGTGTGGATGTTCTTCCGCTCACCATCAGGGACTCTCCGGCTGGCCGTGTGGCTCGTCACATGGCTCCTTCCTGCTGTAGCCCCACTAATTAGCAGTGGCTTATCGGACATTAAGCTGTGATAGGGGTTTAATGTTTCTGAGCTAATCCCTCTCCTTTTGGCCGGGAAATCGGAGCCTCGTATGTCATGAGGCAGACTTACACCCAGAGATTAAGTCTGGCAGTCAGAGGGTATTTACCGGAGTGCAGGATGTCTGCCGAAAGCTGTTGCCTTTGCTGCCACTTATGTCCGCTTGGAACACGGTCCAGGCCTTTCCTGCTAAGCAAAGGCTGTGCATTCAACATGTTCGGGTTTAACACTCAAGGTGTTCCGCTTATCCAGTCGGACATGCGGCACAGAGACAATGACAGGAGGGTTTCTGCAAGGCTTTGGGGATAAAGGCTTCTGGTTCAGTGAGATCAGACTGAAAAGATTAAATATTTTCACCCAGACACTGCATGTTGACGGGCTGTCCTGTCTTCATAAAACAAGAATACCTAAACAAATTCAGTTTTTTAAATTAAAGTCTGAACAAAGAAAGTGTCTGATACATTTTGGGGTTGATCGGCAGGTTGTCATCATAATAAGTTGATAACGCACTTTGGAGTGGAATTTGTTTCTAAATAACAAACATTGAATGAACAAAAACAGAGCCAACATGTTGAGACTAGGGCTGGACGATATGGCTGAAAAAGTGTGCCAGCATATAAGCTTTTCTTATCTGTCAATTTTGATTATTCTTGATTTTTTGTTTTAAAAATATGTGACATTTTTCTCATTTTTTTCCACATCATTCTTATTTTTCAGCAGTTAGGAGGCACAGTGAAACTCAACAAGTTGTTGCTAGGTAACGAAAGAGTGAGTGAATAAGTTGATGCCACCAAGCTGGCTTTGGGAGGGTGAGGGGCTAAAGTCTTTCCTCTGCCTACATCCCCCAGAATGCAGTATGGCTCTGAATCTGAGTTCAATGAATAGTCCATATATTGAATAATATCTTTTGATAGTGTTATATATTAATATTGTGATATATGTTATGATTTATTGTCCTGCCGTAGCTGAGACATGGCTGAGTTTGGTTCAGGCTGCAGGAGAGCAAGAGAGAGCAAGACTTCAAATATTTTGTTGTTCTTACATCATCTTGATTTTTAAAGAAAAATGTCAGTCAGCTAAATTGAAATAGCCAAAGAAAACTATACAAATCATGCAGAATATAGCATGTATAATTCTACGTGGCAATACACCATCTTTCCAGAAACAATGAAATGTTAAGACTTTTTCTAACAGAAGTTTCCCTTGCTCCACCAACATCTGTCTCTTCCCGTATAATGATTATAATTAAATGACAATAGGTTGTATGAAATATTAATGACGACCATGAGGCACACAGGCTTTTCTTAACGTCACCGTCTTGCTGTTTTAGATTGATTCGTGTGTGACGTGTCGTCAGGAGGTCTGAACAGTCTGGAATGGAAATCTGATTTCAGATCGCTATCCGCCTTTTGCTCTGTCATCAGAACAGTTCCATGTTTTTGCTTCTGGCACAGATCCCATTCATTTTTCAAGCAGTGGGTTGTTTTCCAGTTATTATTCCTTATGAAAATGTCAGATAAAATATTCCCATTTTGACCTATACCCAGATTCCACAATGCACCAATCCACTCATGTCTTACTTTTGCCTACTATCTTCTCTCCTTCCTACTTCCTGTCTCTCTTTATTTCTTTCTATCTGCCTCTGATCCTTCACAGTATTTCCATAATGTCAATTCCCTCTTCTGAGTCCCCTACACCTGTCTGCGCCTCACCTTCCCGCTGTCTCCTTCCATATGGTACAATAAAGACAGCGCAGTGTGTCGTCTGGCTGGTCGAGGGCTGTCAGAGCGGAGGAGACGCTCTCAGTCTCTCTGCAGCCGTGCTGGCTGACAGAACGGAGCGTGTGAAGTCTGCGAAGTCGGCAGAAGCCTTTCTTCATTGTTCTTTGTTACCCTACACCTGAACCCGGCGCGCTCCTGAATGCCAAATCAGCTCTCGTCCCGGCAGAGCACTTAGAGGGCTGTTACCTGCTGGAAAACCCGGGAGCTTTTTGATCTGTGTGCTGGTGGTATTTAGCTAAGTGCTGTGGGCTAAAGGTTTATACGAGCCCAGCAAGATAGTTAGAGGTTATTAAAGCCACATAATAATAAAACTCAACAGAAAAGTCATAGACCAGAAAAAAACTTTCACTAAACACGACCTTGCTCCTGCACAAAAGAAACTAATTCGGTAATTAGATCCTGAAATATAATGGAATAAACAAATAAGTAAAGATGGAAGTCTTACTAGCTGGTCTTATAAGAAATGCAGGCAAATTTGTCTATTCAGCTAATGTAAGAAACAACATGATTTTGCAGTTGTCGTGTTTCCATTAAAAAAGAGGTGAAATTCAAATCACATGTGAATAAGCTTGTTCACATAAATCATTAAAAATGATGGCAGCGACTGATGTAAACAGTTGCATGAGACGTATTCATAATTCAGCCATGGTGCTAGTATTCATCATCTATCAGCCAATCAGAGGAGATTGTCAGCGTCTCATTCAGGCGTTTGAGCGACAAGCCTGTTATACTTCGGAGCGGCTAATTATGCATGTTTTGTTTTTGTTTTTTTGTGGAAATTGTAGTGAGTGATTTTACAGAAGAGCTGTGGATTCAACACGTTGGAATGACGCATGACTTTTTATGAAATCTTGGGTGAAATCTTGGGAGCGGCAAAAACGTACAACTTGAATATATTTTGAAAACAAATTTTGAGCATCTGGAGTTGATTCAGAATCCCCAGCACTAAATACATCCCAGGAAATTTTTTTTTGGAGAAATTATTTTTCCTGCACCTCCGATAATACGAACAGTTGTTTAAACAGAACTGGCACATTACAATTGGTTTAATGGAACATTTTCAGTTTATCACCATTATTTAGATTCTGCATGGATAAGAAATACATTCACAATTGTGAACCCGAATTATCAAAACTTCTTTAACGGTTATTTCACGTCAAACAACAACAAAAAAGGATCTTCTCAAACCCGAAATGTTTGACATTTGTGACCATAAAAAACATCTACTCTACAACAGCTATTACTACAAATGTATTAAACAGAAGAGTAGAAATTCACCATTTCCATTACCTGCATCTTCTGGATCTTCATCATAGTCTTCATCATCACCAGATGACAGAGAATCTGAAAAATCAGAAACATGGGAGCTTCAGAATGACACGCATTACATAAAATTTTGACTCAACAATTCCTACATGCTTTGGACCGTTACCCAAGAACACAAACAATTCACCGATCACGTCTACAACGTGTGCAGCCCAGAAATGTGTGTGAATTGGAGATTAAATGGTGTGTGGCCATAAACACTTACGATGGCGCAAATGTTCCTAAATCCAGATCCAGAGATGCATGAATGCACGCTGCAGCTGGCTGCTCATTGAGAAAGTCCTGAATGAGGCTACAGTTCTGCTGATATTACAACCTAAACATTTCCATAGACGATAGGAATCGGGGCGTCGTTAGTGATGCAGTCCCACGCTCCTACGAGTGGATCCACACACACACACACACACACACACACACACACACACACACACACACACACACACACACTTCTCTAGCCATGGTTGCAACATACACTTTCTGCTACAAACTCTCCCTGTCAGACTAATTATTTTGCAGCCATAGATTCTGTTTAGATTTGCCGTTTTTTTAATTTTATTTATTTTATTATTTTTTGCCAACAGCGTGGTTTCTATTTTACATGTGACCTTGGATTTTTCCAGTTCAGATCCTCAGATCTGGTTAATGAGAGCCAGCTGTTACCTCGACGGCCCCGGTGAGCTAAAACTGCTCCTCAAACTCCTGACTAGTAGGTTTTTGTTTCTATTATTTGACACCTGAGCCCAACGACTCTGCACTGCTGCGGTACGACTCAGCAGACAGAAGGCGTCCTAAAAATACTCACCGAGGAGCAGCAGCAAGATGGGGATTGTAGCTGAAAACAAGTTAATCATATTCCAAATGGCATAATGCATGGGATCAGACATGAAAAGGTTTAGAAAAGGAAACATGGCGAATAATTTGTTGGATGTGTTTGTGCTTGATAGATGTAGCAAGCATTGGGTATATTAAGGAAAAAACAAAATTCAAAAAAACCCAGCATACTCATCTGAAAAACCTCTGAAGTTGCAGTTTTTTACATTTCCGTCTAAAAAACGTGTAACATGGTCAAATATATATATATATATTTTTTAACTGTTTCAGTGTGTCTGGTGACAAATTTGACCAATCATAAATTATAAGCAACACAATGCCCTTTCCACAGAAAAGTCACGGTCACATTAAGGCAACTTTTTGACATCTTTTGTCAAAGACACCAGTCGAGGGAGTCACACACATCATCAGTGAATAATGTGAAAGACTTAAGGTTGACAGATGGAGTCAGTGATATATCTGGATATAACAATAAGACATTTATTTTGGTTGTATTTACCCAGAATGCCCTCTGCTGTAGTCTGCTTCCTACTCTTGGAGCGATCTAACGTGGAACCGCAACAGAGTTCACGTCAATCAAAGCGAGAACTAGGTTTTTAGAATGGACCAGAGTTCACTTTTTTGGTCCACTTCAGAGTTTGATTGAACATTCACACCTCCACAAACAAACCAGACTTCCTGGGCAAACAAACTAGAGTTCGATGGAAGTGGATTTAAACAGGACTGGTTGAATGCGCTTAGTTTTCTCAAAAAGTCTGCTAACATCTGATCTTATCTCCATGAACCCAACACCGTTTATTATCTTTTCTCATAGGCAGAACGTAGCAGTGCACTCCTAGCTCTTAGCTATCTGCACATAACTCAAATATTTGAGGACCAACACAATAGTACAATGTGTGTTTTCAGATAAACCAAAGGCGCAGTGTTTAAAGTGGAGGGAGGAGAACCACCTGCACTGCAGGGGAAAACAGGATATTGTCGCTTCATGCTGTTCAGTGTCAAACTTCTAAGGTGATTTGTGCAGGCACAGGAGTGTTAAAATTATTCACTTCATTAAAGCCTGCAATGAAATTGCATCAACTTTGATCTTAATCCCTGAAGCATGCTGAGCAGAGCTGGAAGCAAATGTGCTTATTTTATTTTACTTGAGAAATTAAGTTAAGGGAAAAAAAATATTATGCCAGACACTCTAACTCAGACATCAGTGATGAGGACAGTGGAGCATATTCTGAGTCTGGAACAGATACTTTGGACATAAAGGAGAAGTTATCCACCTCCGATTAGCGCTGGAATTGATTGCATCCTCTCCAGCTTGTAACCAAACACACTTGTGTGTGCGCATGTGTGTGTGCGCGCGAGTGCTTGTGAGGAGGTAGGAGGGCGAAGTGAGAGAGAGGAAACTCACACATTTATTGCCACCCCATCTGTTTTCAATGCTGAAATGTTTCTAGTTAATTGCTTTCTAATTAGTTGTCAATAACAGACTCAGCTGGTGTCCCGGGTTTTACGGTGAAACGCCTCCTGACTTTTAAGCTGCTGCTCGCTAAACTCCTGACCCCCACCACCACCACCCACAGCCCCACCCTCACTTCCTCTTGGTCTTGCGCTCTTACTGGCGCTCTGCTTTCACCACAGAGTCATGATAATGAAATTCACCTTTGACTGTGTGGCTGAGAGGTGTGTACACAGAACATGCTCTAGTGTATCCGCGTAGAGTTCTAAACCTCAACTTCTAGCATGGAGCATTACTGGATGTTAGGTACAAAGTTACTACAGTTTCCTGGACAAACAAACAGAAAGCAGAATAGATGTGTCTTCAGAACACCCTCCCATATCTCACCTGTCACCCTGATGGTGTAGTTTTTGAGCAGGGTGTTGGTATGGGCGAGTCGGCACGTGTAGACACCCGAGTCTTCGTACGACACGTTGATGATGCGTAACGTCCGTTGGCTGACTCGTGTCCGGTTGCCCGACGAGAGTCCGATGCTGTCTTTGAACCAGACGATGGGCTCTGAGGAGTCCTCCCGGTTGCACGACATCTCCAGGGTGTCCCCCATGCCCAAGATAAAGTCCTCCAGGAAAGCAGTTTCACTGGACACAGAGTCTGAAAACAGACATGAACAAAGAAGAGTGGTTCAAATTACAAAGCCAGATAATATAGATTAAAAACATCATGGAATATACCAACTAGCATGGGCTGTTTGCCGATGTCAAGGTGTACTAGAGTTTTAATAAGTCATGCTGGTATTTCCTTTCATACATGAAAGTGCTTTTGTGTACATTTAGAATCGGTTGATGGAAACAGCAAAATTTGACAAACTGAAAATATAATATATATATATATATATATATATATATATATATATATATATATATATATATATATATATATATATATTTTTTTTTTTTTTTTTTTTTTTAATTTTTTCAAAATGTAAAGCACTTTGAACTGCCATGTTGCTGATATGTGCCACACAAATAAACTTGCTTGATTTTTGTAAAAAGTGAAACATTTTTTTGGTGCTGAATCTTAACTATGGCTTTCAGATAGAAGACATATTCAAATGCAAAGTACCTGATTAACTCAAATCCTGTGACCTCTTGCTGAACTTCCATGTGTGATTATGTCAGCCACACCCACAGTTTGCTGCACCAATGCAGCCTCAGTTGGGTTTTCCACTTGTTAACAATCATAGTCTATTTTCTGGAGCACAGCTCGCAGAACTGCATTACAGGCCTGGCAAATTCTTCTGTTGATCTAATAAATCTGGGGTTTCCCTCCGACAAAGTGTATTTCACCCCATACAATGATATTTCACGCTCTGTGTGTGTGGATGTGACCTTGTAGAAAGGCCTAAAACAAATATGGTGAGCCCTGTCCGTACGTCTTCTGTTCCCCGGCTCTCCAACAGAAATATGCCGGAGTCTGGACTGGAAAGTCGCAGCTTCAGAAAACCCTGAAATCATCCCCAGCAGTGTGACAGCCTGCACATCTCCAGGTGAGTTCAACAGACACAAACACAATACAAACGTAAACCACACACATCTATTTAGCATAAGTTTCAGACATTGCCAAATGTTCATTCCTAAATTATTCGCATCGGTATGAAGAACAGAACGATCCTGACTCCCACATTCCAGTTTTTTTTTTTTTATATTAATTTACGTAAATCCCTCACTTTCCTTTTTTCCAAACCCTGTTTAAGAAACGTAGTCATGGTGTTTGGCTACACACAGGAAAAGCTGCTGTCAGGCCATCAGGCAGAGAACACAGACAGATGTGAGCTGTGAGGAAAGCCTCATTTATTCCTGCTTGGAAAAACCAACATGTTTACCGACTTTGCTGAGGACGCCGACCGGTGCGGAGAATGGAGGGAACGGAGCCGCTTGGATGTGACACTGAGGCGCTTTGTTCATTCATCAGAGGTGTGTCCTCTTGTTCATATTTCAAAAACACAATACAGCGACCATAAATAATCAACGTGGCCTAATGGCAACAATTGAGCTGAATGTTCTGTTGTACACAAAGGCCACTTGTAAGGCAGCTAATGCATGCATACTTCCACATGTCTTCGACAGCTTCTGTAACAAATTACTCAACATGCACCTGTTTGCACACAAAACACAGAACCCATCAAGTCCCCTCACCCCCCAAAGCCTCGTCACCCCCTACCAGTAGTGAATATGTTAAGTGTGTGATTTATGTGGCAAAGACACCCACTCCCAAAAATGGCAGAAAGGACAAAAACAACCTTGAGCAGCCACTACCAGAAGACAGTAAGTGTTAGTGCAAGCATAAAGTATTGCACAGTTGCAAAGTGGAAGATAACTAATTTAAAAATTTTTTGGTTATTTTTACAAATATAAATCTGAATAGTGCAGCATGAATAGCTAAAATACAAACTCCTTCAACAAATACCTATAACTCTGTATTTAGTTCAAACACCAAATTTACCTTCATGATAGTGGTGAGACATGATTAAAACATTTTTATCATGTTAGTTACTGGGCCTCTAATTAATTACTTGCAATTTGGAGACAAAATAAGCAACATTGGTATATTAAGAACCATATATGTCTCCTAAATTATTGAATAAAATAAACATATAAGCTCAAAAAGACATTTACTTGTTATAATCTGTTATCTAGGCTATTAAACCATCATAAAGTGAAGTTTACTCAATCGGTTTTCCAGTGTTTCAGGAACTCCTGATCATTCGTGGAACTACTTTAGAGACGTGGACATGTAGCACTGAAACAGCATCAATGCTACATGTTTAGCATTGATGCTATTTCAGGCTAGAATAACTTTGCTGATGAGCTAACTCTTTTTAGCACAACTTGAACATAACAGTCTTTTCCAGTTTCTAATCAAATTGTTTTTTGAAGCTAAAAATAATCTCCATTGGGCAAAGAAAAGCAGCTTTGTGGTCCATCGCTATCATTTGTGGGTGTTACAGATTTACGGGCGTATCAGAAACACAATACAAAGGTTCCGGCTCTGAACTTTTACTTGTAACCCCCCCACCCCCCAAAAAACAATTAATTGCATAAAAAATTTTAATAGGTAAAAACAGATCGAATTAATTAATCAAAATTAGCATGGTAAAGTCCTGGCTCTAATGAATATGTTAGAGCCAGGATGCACAGTTGAGCACCTATAGTCTTCCTTATTTCCAGTCTTGAGGGTGCAGGAAAATAAAAGTCACTCATGGATCAGAAAAAAAATCTGCAATTGTGAATTTTTCACTAATAAGTTGGAGATACATTCTACAGTAACATCTGCAAGTGTGTGAATAATGAACTGCAAACAGGCGAGGTTACACTGGACTGGAATGCTGTTCAGCAAAGTAAATGGTGGAGGTGAGTTCGAAAGTACACAATACTTTTATGAAAAATTTAATTCCCTTCCACTTTATAATACAGGTCCCTTTGAAATGGACTATCATGTAAAGTCCCAATAAATCCCAAGTAGGAGGTTGCTTGGACACAGATAAAATGTGAAAAAGTTCAAGAAGCACGAATACTTGGGCTTTGGTACACATTAAGTCATAGAGGAATTAGCTCAGTTAATATTTACCCAATCTCAAAATGTTTCTTCAAAGCGCTTGAAGGATTAAAAAGACTTCTTTCTCTTTAGCCATGCTAGAGATGCTAGGTCAATAATAAACCAATGGGGCTGTTCAGTGGCCTCCGGCTTCGACGAGCAGATTTACAACACGTCTTTTTGTTAAAACAAAAAGCTCTATTCAGGAGGAGAAAAACCAGTGTGGCAACAGCGCACAGCACATAAATTCAAGCCCAGCATGAATGACTCTCTACCTTTGTCTACGTCTGAGAAAGAAACCTGAGAAAAAAGGGCTGCAGAGTATTTTCAGGTCTTAAACGTGGAGAAGTGGGCTCTGTGAGGTAGATCTAAAATTCTCCAGAGTGTCAAGCGCTGGTAGTGGACTTACCGGAGTGAAACTCTACCCTCTGAGTAGACAGCAGCATTCTTTGTATTCATCATGCGTTTTCTTTTTAAAATGCATTCTCCTGGAAAAGACTTTCCAATCGTGTCAGCGTTAGCAGCAGAAAATATCCAATTAGCATTTGTTAGCAGCGAGACGGGATGCCGAAATGCATTTGTGCATCTTTTGCTTTGATCTTGGGGAAAACATATAAGAAGAATTTTCATTCACAACTTTGATGTTTACACACTGCTAGAAGCTGAATAAATGCAGCAAAACAAAAAGCTACACCCAACACTTTCTAAAGAATCCCAACTTCTCAGGTGTCACACAGAGATTGAAATGTCTGTCGTCGCTTTCAAATTCCAAATTTTGAAATGCAGATTTTTAAAGCTGCTGTGCATTAAACATGTCTTTGGTTTCGACGGGCCCACACATTTTGTGAACGCTCGACTGCTCCATGGCAGATCTATAACTCGCGGAGTGTTGGTCCAGACGGCCTCATGGTGAAAATCCGGTAGCGTGAGGCCGCAGGGTTGAAACCAAGCCGCTGCTCTTTGAGAAACAATGAAATGCGCTGCTCTGTCCGGGCCAAATATGCATAAAGGAATTCCTAATTAGCATCTGGGCACTTTCAGTCCCTATAGGAATGAGGGGAAAAAAAAACAAAAAAAAACTAACTGCAGCTGTGTGGCCAGCTGTGCCCATCTGTGTTTGTACTGAGGAGATGCAAGGTGAGAATTCATGGAAGAGAATACATTAGAATCGGACCCTCTTGTGTGGCTAAATGCAATACATTACAGTTTAAAAGTTTAAAATCAAACATCTAAAACTGATGGCTCAGATTTGAAAACAGTGGATGAGCTCATCCACTGTTTTCACTTCCGATACCAAAACAAATATCTGAGGTTTAGGACATATTTGTACTTAGTTAGAAATTTATTTGCTAACTCTGCACCAGAACAGCTCACTGAAATACACCTACAGCGTCAGTAGCTTGGACAAACATGGAAAAACAACTTTAATTTGTTCAGTCAGTGTAATTAGGAGTAGAACAGCCAATGGAAACTAAACAAAAGAAACTGAAGCTGACAAAAATAAACTGCAACAAACCTTCTTTAAAATGGTTCAGAAAATGTAATTAGGATTTCTCAGTGTAATGTAAAATAATATAATAAACCATGATTTTCAAAGCACAAAGCATAGAATTAGACTGAATACATCTGCCTTTACAGATTGTGCACATTGTCATGATACCCAATCTAGAATTTTTTTCCCCAATATCAGGACTGATAGATATTAATATTGGGTCGATGAATCTCCAGTCTTATATGTACATTCTTTTCTCTTTAATTTTCTACAAACTCACCAGAAAATGATGAAATTGTCTATTAAAATCTTTAGAAATCTCACTTCTAAAAACCAAATGGAACTATCCCTGTTAAGTCTGTCTGAGCCCAAAGTTGTCCTGACAAACACACAATCTGCTACTTATGGCTGTGCTGAAAACACAGCTTCAGCCCATTAGCAGTGTTCAGACTGTAAACAGCCGATGCCAAAGATGTCTGATAGAGAAACAAAGGTGAACAAAGCCTAAGCGAAGCTTCCCGTTCTGCCTTTGTGGTGACGTCCAGCTTCATATCAACATCTCCAC